GGAGTCAGCCACTTTTCCACCTGTGCGTTCATGGCGGACAGGAGTGTTTGTCCGGTGTGACTCTCTGCTTTCAAGCAAGTCAAACCCAAGACGGCGTGACACTGCTGTATCCGGGATGTGGAATAGTACCTGGGGAGCTGGGGGTGTGCCGTTGATGTGGAGCAAGACGCAGCAGCAGAAGAGGACTCAGCCGAGGAGGTTATGGAAGAGGATGGAGTAGGAGGAGTAGAGGAGGTGGCAGCAGGACTGCCTGCAAGTCGCGGCGGTGTCACCAACTCTCTGCAGAGCTATGTATTCCATGCTTGGCAGCAGTCAGCAGGTTTACCTAATGCGCAGGGTGATATACCTGCCCTGACCATGCTTTGCAGACCAGGTATCAGTGGTCGATGGACCTCTGCCCCCAACACTGTGTGCCAGAGATGCTATTACTTTGCACAATTATACAGGTTGGGATTGCCTTTGTGAAAATAAATTTCGCTGCACCTTCCACCGCGGTGTCCCAATAGCTACAAATTTTTTGAACGCCTCAGACTCCACCAGCTTGTATGGTAAAAGCTGGCGGGTTAATAGTTCGGACAAGCCAGCGGTCAGATGCTGGGCAAGGGGGTGACTTTCTGACATTGTCTTCTTACGCTCAAACATGTCCTTGACAGACACATGACTGTGGGAAGATGAGTGTGAACTGCTCAAGGCGGGAGGTGGAGTGGCGGATGGTTGAGAGGGGACAAGGAGGACAGCAGTGGTTGACGTGGCTGAAGATGCTGGACCAGGAGGAGGCTGGCGGCTTAGAGTAGGCGAGCTGCTTGTACTCATGTGTTGATCCCACAGGCGTCTGTGATGTGAGATCATGTGCCTACGCTGTGCTTGTGCTGTACCTAGGTGGGTGTTGGACTTCCCACGACTCAGTTTCTTTTGGCACAGGTTGCAAATGGCATCGCTGTTGTCAGAGGCAGACACACAAAAAAAATTCCACACTGCTGAGCTCTGCAATGACGGCATTCTGGTGGTGGACACAGCATGCGTTGATTGGCGTGCTGTCGGCTGACCCCGGGTGCCGATGCATGCTGTCTGACTGTGCCACTAGCTCCTTGCGACGACCTCCCCCTGCTTCCAACTCGTCTCCTCCTCCTCCCTGTCTCCCCATCTGAACTTTCGCCCTGTTCTTCTTCTTGCCGCCACCCACGTGACATCCATGGACGCATCGTCATCATCAACCACTTCACTTGTATCTGACAACTCAGCAAAGGAAGCAGCAGCGGGTACAACATCATCATCATCATCACACCGTACGTCCATGTGTGTAATGCTGCCTGCCTGAGACATATCCCTGTTATCTACATCCTCTGGCAATAATGGTTGCGCATCACTCATTTCTTCAAACGGATGTGTGAATAACTCCTCTGACATACCAACTGAAGCGGCTGTGGTGCTAGTTTTGGTGGTGGCGGCAGGCGGGTGAGTGGTATCTTGAGAGGTGCCTGAAGCTAAGCTGGAGGAGGATGGTGCGTCAAGGTTCTGAGCGGAGGCTGTAGAAGATTGGGTGTCCTGTGTTAGCCAGTCAACTATGTCCTCAGAACTTTTCAAGTTCAGGGAACGTGGCCTCTGAAAACAGGGCATTATTCTAGGGCCAAAGGGAATCACAGCACCACGACCACGATAACCCCTGCGGGGTGGCCTGCCTCTGCCTGTCATTTTTTGGGGGATTAGTGGTACTATGCGTGCAAGCTACTGTGAGACCAGATATGAGTGGCAATGTGCACTGGCACAGTTGTGCAGAGCACAGGCTGTAGGCCTGACACAGCCGCTTGAAGGACACTGACTGGCTGCTATTAGCTTACACTGGAAACATTTTTTTCTTTGTAAAAGCACGCTACAGAGACACCAGATATGAGTGGCAAAGTACACAGGCAGAGGTCTGCAGAGCTCACGCTGAAGGAGGCCTGACACCTGCTTTAAGGACACTGACTGCTATACAAGCTATAACAGTGAAAAAAGTTTTTTGTTTTTAAATGCAAGCTATTGTGACACCAGTTAGTGGTGGCACTGGGCACCATATCCACTGTGAGCTTAACACACCCGCTTTAAGGACACTGACTGCTATTCAGTGAAAAAAGTTTTTTTTTTAAAATGCAAGCTATTGTGACACCAGTGAGTGGTGGCACTGGGCACCGTATCCACTGTTAGCGTAACACACCCGCTTTAAGGACACTGACTGCTATTCAATCTATAACAGTGAAAAAGGTTTTTTGTTTTTAAATGCAAGCTATTGTGACACCAGTGAGTGGTGGCACTGGGCATCGTATCCACTGTGAGCCTGACACACCCGCTTTAAGGACACTGACTGCTGTTCAATCTATAACAGTGAAAAAAGTTTTTTGTTTTTAAATGCAAGCTATTGTGACACCAGTGAGTGAGTGGTGGCGCTGGGCACAGTATCCACTGTGAGCCTGACACACCTGCTGGCAGACAACTAACTGCTATTCAATCTATAACAGTGAAAAAAGTTTTTTGTTTTTAAATGCAAGCTATTATGACACCAGTGAGTGGTGGCACTGCGCACCGTATCCACTGTTAGCGTAACACACCAGCTTTAAGGACACTGACTGCTATTCAATCTATAACAGTGAAAAAAGTTATTTTTTTTAAATGCAAGCTATTGTGACACCAGATATAAGTGGTGGCACAGACTGGGGAAATGGGCACAGTATCCACTGTGAGCCTGACACAGAAGCTGGCAGCAGTGACAGACAACTGACTGCTATTCAATCTATAACAGTGAAAAAAGTTTTTTTTTTTTTAAATGCAAGCTATTGTGACACCAGATATAAGTGGTGGTACAGACTGGGGAAATGGGCACAGTATCCACTGTGAGCCTGTCACAGAAGCTGGCAGCAGTGGCAGACAACTGACTGCTATTCAATCTATAACAGTGAAAAAAGTTTTTTTTTTTTTAAATGCAAGCTATTGTGACACCAGTGAGTGGTGGCACTGGGCACCGTATCCACTGTGAGCCTGACACACCCGCTTTAAGGACACTGACTGCTATTCAATCTATAACAGTGAAAAAATTTGTTTTTTTTTAAATGCAAGCTATTGTGACACCAGTGAGTGGTGGCACTGGGCACCATATCCTCTGTGAGCCTGACACACCCGCTTTAAGGACACTGACTGCTATTCAGTCTATAACAGTGAAAAAAGTTTTTTGTTTTTAAATGCAAGCTATTATGACACCAGTGAGTGGTGGCACTGGGCACCGTATCCACTGTTAGCGTAACACACCCGCTTTAAGGACACTGACTGCTATTCAATCTATAACAGTGAAAAATGTTTTTTGTTTTTAAATGCAAGCTATTATGACACCAGTGAGTGGTGGCACTGGGCACCGTATCCACTGTTAGCGTAACACACCCGCTTTAAGGACACTGACTGCCATTCATCTATAACAGTGAAAAAAGATTATTTTTTTTTTAAATCCAAACTATTGTGACACCAGATCTAATTAGTGGCAGTCAGCGTATCCACTGTTAGCGTAACACACCGCTTTAAGGACACTGACTGCTATTCAATCTATAACAGTGAAAAAAAGTTTTTTGTTTTTAAATACAAGCTATTGTGACACCAGTGAGTGAGTGGTGGCACTGGGCACAGTATCCACTGTGAGCCTGACACACCCGCTTTGAAGACAACTAACTGCTATTCAATCTATAACAGTGAAAAAAGTTTTTTGTTTTTAAATGCAAGCTATTGTGACACCAGTGAGTGGTGGCACTGGGCACCGTATCCACTGTTAGCGTAACACACCAGCTTTAAGGACACTGACTGCTATTCAATCTATAACAGTGAAAAAAGTTTTTTGTTTTTAAATCCAAGCTATTGTGACACCAGATATAAGTGGTGGCACTGACTGGGGAAATGGGCACAGTATCCACTGTGAGCCTGACACAGAAGCTGGCAGCAGTGGCAGACAACTGACTGCTATTCAATCTATAACAGTGAAAAAAGTTTTTTGTTTTTAAATCCAAGCTATTGTGACACCAGATGTAAGTGGTGGCACTGACTGGGGAAATGGGCACAGTATCCACTGTGAGCCTGACACAGAAGCTGGCAGCAGTGGCAGACAACTAACTGCAATTACATTACATAGAAAAAAAAAAAAAAAGCATACCCTAACCCTAACCTAGCTATGCATTTCCCTATCTAATCAACAGCAGCTACACTTTCCCTCCTCTCACTAAGCATGCAGCTTGAGAATGAATGTAAAATGGATGCCTTCCAGTAGGTGGGAGGGTCTGCTAGGTAGGGTGTGCTGCTAATTGGCTGGAATGTGTCTGCTGACTGTGAGGTACAAGGTCAAAGTTTACTCAATGATGACGAATAGGGGGCGGATCGAACCGCGCATATGTTCGCCCGCCGTGGCGAACGCGAACATGCTATGTTCGCCAGGAACCGTTCGCCAGCGAACCGTTCGGTACATCACTATTGAAAGCATAAGCTAGGCAGGCCTATGTAGGTAATATCAATGATGATTGATATTATGAATACATTTGAACGTCTAGGCACACATTCGTAGGTGCATGTATAAAACGTGAGCTATGGTCACATTGATGCTTATTAAAGTAAAACAATTCACTCCTGTCAGGCTATATATTCATGTCTAAATGCTGAACTATGCAGGTGCAAGTAGGGAAGAAAAGATGATACAGACACGGTGAAAGCTAAACATTTTTCTATTGTTATTGCCCAGTTTTATATTTACTAGTCATCGGCTGTGGTAGCTTGCGGTCGGCAATCTATTAATCCGGCTGTCCTTTGCTATGAGGTTCTTCACTCGATTCCCTGTCTGGGCCCTGCTCTGGGTTGGTTGCGGGATTTATCTGGGGTAGCCCTGCTGCGTTCTGAGTGTGTGGTATGTCTCATCTGAGTCTGTGATAGTTGTAGTAAGGCAGTGGTCCCCCCATTTGGTGCTCTTCCAGTTCCCAGCCAGGATGGAGTCTGGGGGTATGGTGGCTAGAGTCCCCTGACTTGTATTAAGCCTGTCGTGGGCTTGTCATCTCTGGCAGGGGTTGTGAAGCTGGTGGTGGCTGTAATGCTCTGTCAGGGCAGTTTGGTAAGGAGATCCCCCCCCCCCTCGCGCCCCTTCACTTTTGAGCAGAGGCCTTGTGTCTGGTGGTCTGTAGGTCCCCGTTGAGGTTTCTTTGCTTGGGAGGGGTAGTGATCACCTTGGAGGATGGGGGAGTGTAAGCAGGCAGACCTGGGGTATGTCGCCTTTTAGTTGGGTGACTCAACACTGGAGGTCTGTTGCCGACCCGTTGAGGCTTGCGTCGGATTTCCCACCTTCTCCTCCCCGCCTTCCAGGCTTTAGTTTGGCCCCATCCTTGTAGCTTGGTGACCTGTGGGGTTGTTGCTGCTTGTGTCTCTGCTGGAGCGGAGAGCTTTGTCCAGAAAGCAGCTAGCAGGCCGGTCCAGCCGCTCCGAGAGTGGTGGCAGTGGGGATCTTTGTTCTGGCTGGCACGTTGCATTCGCCATGATGTGGCTCACCAGACCGGCAGTGTCGGTGAGTCGATTGTGTTGCATGCACCTGAGGCTTGAGCTGGGATATCCTTCTCCGTGTGGGTCGAGTGTGTGCCGAGTGTGTCGGGGAGTAGTGATGTCCCGAACGGTTTGCTGAACGGTTCGCCACGGATGGCGAACATATGCGCTGTTCGGTCTGCCCCCTATTCGTCATCATTGAGTAAACTTTGACCCTGTACCTCACAGTCAGCAGACACATTCCAGCCAATCAGCAGCAGACCCTCCCTCCCAGACCCTCCCACCTCCTGGACAGCTCACTAAGAATGCAACTTCACAATGAATGTAAAATGGATGCTGTCCAGGAGGTGGGAGGGTCTGGAAGGGAGGGTCTGCTGCTGATTGGCTGGAATATGTCTGCTGACTGTGAGGTACAGGGTCAAAATTTACTCAATGATGACATAGGGGGCGGACCGAACAGCGCATATGTTCGCCGTCCGTGGCGAACCGTTCGGGACATCACTATCGGGGAGACCTCCAAGTAGTTTGGCAACAGCCAGCAGAGGGATCGGCCATCTGAGTAGGCCACTTGTAGGCCTCAGGTCGATCCCCAGTACGTCGTTGCTGTAGTTTGCCGCGGCCTCGCGGGTGTGCTTCCTCTGTGGTAAGCCCTCTGTTCGGGGGCTGAAAGGTAGGCAGTTTTAGGGCTTAATGTCGCTATAGGCTTATTTCAGGCTTTTTTGTGAGGAGCTCCACCAGTATGCGTCCGTTTGGCTAGAATGCTAGGCTCCGCCCCCCTGTTTTATGAAACTTTTAACTGATTCGTAACATTGTGATTTATTTTATGAAAACAAGTCTTTACCAGTCAATTAAATGTGGTCCGTAAGAAGGGACTTAAAAATGGTAGCACTACTAAAGGGCAGATAAAATTATAATAAAATACAAACTTATAGTTTCATTTATATACGGGAAAAAAACATTTTCAAATAACTAACAACATCATCAAAAAGCAGTACATTGAGAAACAAGTGATTTAAAATTCGGGAATTAAATCTCTTAGGCCTTCTTTGCTGCCAAGAATCCAGCAGCTGGATGTTTTGCTAGAGTTTGGATGATGAACTTCGTCTGTGCAGGACAGGGGGGTGTTATATCCTGCCATTGTCCCACTACTTCCGATCCTAGTAAGTGTTTGTGTCAGAAAACAGACTGACATGGCCACCGCAGCCCTTCTTTGCTCTGAATACCTGCGATGCCCTGTCTGCCTGGACCTGTTTCGGGAGCCAGTCACTATTCCCTGTGGCCATACTTTTTGTATGGGCTGCATCACCCAGTGCTGGTCATTGCAGGGAGCACCGACCTCTTGTCCCCAGTGCCGCTGCTCGTTTTGCCCGGATCCTCAACCCCGTCTCTGTAAGAACAGTATACTTTCCCAGATGGTGGAAGACTTCTCGAACACCCACAAATACAGTGACAAACTTACTATGTATCCAGCTGGGAACACGGAGTTACCTATAAAGAATGAACATCAACATGCAACACCAGAAGTTGATCTCAGAGAGGGCAGCGTGGACAGTGGAAGTCCAGAATGTACCAATCCCTGTGTAAGTAACTGCTAATGAACCAGATTTAATGTAGGTCCAGCATTAACCTGTATTTCTTGTGTCTGTTTTATCTAAACTAGAATATAGTGACGGCTATTCAATAGATCTGCACGATTATTTACTAAAGTGAGAATTACTAGAAACTCAAAGTTAATTTTAAATTTAAGGTCAAAATAGCCTAGTCAAAAGCTGAAACCGAAATAACTAAATTTTTCAAGTTCACTTTAAATTCCTGGCAATCCTCTCTTTATAGAATAATCCTGTAGGTATTTTAGAGAACGGGCAAGGAAATTGCAAATTTAAGGCTAAAATAGCTAAACTAGATAAATGTCTTAGTAGGTTAATTTCATTCAGTTCAGGTATTTTAGGCAAAATTTGTAAAAGTTCCTTTGTCAGTTCTCCGCAAATTCCAGATTAGGTTATAATTCTGTGAATATACTTCTAACACTTACATAGAATCCTAACTATAAATAAAACTGTCAGGGTTATTCACTGAAGTAGGAATTCAAGGTCAAAATAGCCGAATCGGAAAAATGATCTATTCTCTAAAATTCACTGATTGCTTTCAGTTCTGCTACTCTGACCTTAAGTTTGAACTGACTTTGAATTCAATTTGAATTCTCACTTTTGTAAATAACCCAGTAAGAATTAAAATACTACAGTGGAATTGTGTAGAACAGCCTTATAAGTTTGTTTGTTAACGCGTATATTGTAGATTATTTTGAAATCCTGCAATTTATTATGATTTACTTAAATAAAGGGACACTCCATTCTGTCTACAAAAAGAAATAAAAATCACTGTTTAGTAGATATACCCCCAATTAAATCAGTCATGCTCATAATTATTATTATTTTTATTTTTTTTGATTGGGGTGTATCTAAAAAAAAACCTTGTCAGATCGACAGACAGTTTAATTTATAAAAGTGCAATTTTCTACTGAAAACTGTATTTTTTTGGAAAATGCAAAAAAAAAAAAAGACACACTACTTACACATAAACCACTTCATCAAGCGCATGTGCTTTAGGGGCCTATTAGGGGTCTAAGCACTTGTGTGCGTGGCATGGCAAATCACCAAGCTGCACCAATGAAATCTTTGAGAAGCATTTGATTGAATCTGTCTGACTCAGATATTCAGCGGAACCTCTAGTGGCTGTCAGGAAGTCAAAACATTGCTGTTTTTACAGAACAGCAATGCTTTACAAAGCAGGTTTAACACGACAGGGGCACTGAACACAGACCATTTCACTGAGATGATGTGATATTCTGTGTGCCTTTCGTGTTCCTTTAAGTTTCAGCTAGTAAACTGATCTGGATTGAAGCCTAATCATCCTTTTTAGATCAAATAATCAGTCTCAAAAAGTAGATTGTCCACATAAACGGAATACATAGGTGTGGCGAAACCAACCTCGCCAATGTACACTGGAGAAGCCTGGTTGCTCGCCTGCTCCCTTTAGACTATGGCCCTGCAGTTCAGACCTGTTATTTTCCCTGCTGAAAGGTTTATTCATGCCTTTCTGCCAGGGTGTTCGGTAGATTCAAACTACCGAACAAACTACCGAACGATGGACCACCTGGGAACTGGAGTGTGCCGTCAATTTACCGCCCAGAAGCTGTGGTTAACTTAATTGATGAACGCTGGGAGGCCTTTGTTCAGTTGCCGAACACGTGGCAGCGGCCATTTTACCTCCTGAACAGCCAGCGGTGTTCAGCGCCTAAACTATGGAACTGAAAACGGACACTTAATTGTGAGAACACCGCTGAGCTGCCAGCCTCCTTCCCTTCCCATTCAAGAGCGGAACCGAATGACTGTTCATTCGGTAGTTTAAGTGGATGAACAGCATCACCCAGATAGCTAAGCCATGGAGCCTGTTCATGTAACAAAAAGACTATGTGAAGGACTTTGGCTCCATGGCGATTGAACTGTATGTATGTGATCTGAGCGCCATTCGGTAATAATGTGCGCTCAGATCTGAGCTATCTGGGCATATGTAGAACGTATATGTTTATGTACTGAATGTAACTGTAGGTAATTTTATGTCTTTTACTGTTTGTTTTCTGCCATGTGGTTAATGGAGTTTTGCCTCTGTCTTTGAAGATAATTGGATTACTTCCCAATTATCTCCAGGGCAGAGAGGAGGGATTGTGATGCATTGTGGGATGGTTGAAATGTGTAAGTCTGTGATTGGTCCTTTTACCCTTTGTGTCCCAGTCTCCCATTTGGTCCCCTAGGGGAGTGTCCACCAGGTGGGAGACCTGCATAAAAAACGGGCAGTAAGCCCCAGTAAATCAGTTCCTGCTTAACCCTGAAAGTGAAGTGTCGTCTCATTATTGGGGGAGGATTTATTGTATGCTGTTCCAGTTTGACTGCTAGGAGTGTAAACCTATTCGCATGGTTTTTCCTATTCGGCTGTTTCCAGTATTCGTGTGTTTGCAGTTCGGGAGAGTGGTGACTGCAGTAGCTGTCTGTGCATCTGAAAGGGGAAGATCGCCTAAATGGTTTTTAACCACTTGTGGGCAAAATGGTCCATTACAATAGGCATTTTCTATTTATATTTAGGGACCATACCATACTTTGTGGTGTGTAAGTTACACTTAGTTATAAGATGTACTGACTCCTTGGGTTGTCCATGTTTTCCCTTAACTTTTACAGGAATACGATGCCCCCCCAAACGAGGTGGACCATATTAACAGGGGGTTGGTGGCCAGCTAGAAGGATCAACAGGTCATCCTGGTGTGAATGCACTCCAGGTTGTCTGTAAATCATCCAGGCCGGCCTACATGAAGCATTGTTTCAGTTCTTTCTACAGAGTCCTAGTTCCCAGAGCATAGGACAAGTGCATCCAATGAGGCGCTCATTCTATGCTTGTTTCCTGGTGTCCCCAAATTAGGACTGTCCTGCTAAAATCGGGACAGTTGGTAAGCCTGTGTTTTTAACCCCTTGTATATAACAAATACTGAAAGAGGGAACAATTCCTCCCAAGTGTTCCTATTTAGCTGGAACAGTCCCTATTTTGGGCCTTATTCCTTTGTCCCTCTTTTCTGTTCTAACGTCTTTCCATATTAGTGTCATATTACAGTGCCTGATTGTATAACAGAGTTCCACAGCAATAATACTCACAGTAATGGGTCTTGAAGCTACAACAAATGTGTTTAAATAAGGAACATTGTTCTTGTTCTAAATTGCATTTTAGTTGTATAAATTGTTATTAAGAAGTCACCTAAAATACATTTACAACCCTAAAATTAAAGTGTCCTGCTTTTCCCATTTAAAATATAATTATGGAAATTGATGGCAGTTGCTGAGGGGATTCTAAATTAGGTAATTAACATGGATGACACAATCCCTGTGAATTATAGTGTTAAAAACAACTGTCAGGTGACACTGTCTGGAGCTGCCTGCACCATTGGGAGAATAGTAGGGTGATGGCATTGAGGAAGAAAGAACAAAGGATACTGGCATAAATAGACAGGAGAATAGAGGTGATCAAGACTGACATTGGCAAAGAATATGAAAGGGGAGACTGATATAGAGGGGTGGATAGTAAAGGGCACATAGGGTGGAAAGGATGTGGAACTGGCATGAAGGAAAGTGTCCTAAAAGTGCGTGGATTCTGAAAAGGCACATACAGATGTGAGGATAATTTCGTCTGGCACGAAAGATGGGGTACTCACACGTGCCAACGGTCCCAATAGTCTTGCATGTTGGGGGACTGCCCCTGTCAACTTGTGTTCCATAATTTGAAATTTGCACAGCAGCTCAAAGCTTCTGGACAGAGTTCAAGACACAGGATGGGACAGGACACTAATGCCTCGTTTCCACTGAGTGGAACGGTTCGGGTCGGTACAGTTTGGAAGGGTTAGAATGGTCCGGCCTATTCAGGTGAGCGTTTCCACTGCAAGTCGGACCGCCAGGGGCCAATGCGGGGTTTAGACCAAATGCCTAGCATGTCATAGCATGTCATTTGTCGTGAGCATTGATGTTTTCCTGTCCGCCAATCAATGGATTGTATAATGTGACGCTAGTAGCTCTGCCCTAACCATACCATACCATTTCCTATGGACCTTCATCTGAAGGGGGACCAGGAATGGTTCGGTTCAGTTGTATGGGCCACTTTCATAATGGAAACACTCAAAATAGCATATAGTACCGAACAGACCTGAACCGGTCTGCTCAGTGGAAACGAGGCATTAGACAATGCACAGAGCTCTTCAGCTGTACTCCGTGCATGGTCTACCTTGGAGCGGTCTGTCAGTTAGCCTATGTACCCACTATAGCGGTAGCCCTTCCAACTCTGGGCTTATTCGTCGCTTTCACATACGGCCCATTCCTCTGTGCACTCTGCTCTTTTGCCTGTCCACCTCAGTCCCAGAAAGTGGGCAGGCAAAATTGGCAGGTAATGCCTGGCTGAGACTTGGGTGTGTTTAAAAAGCTGGTTTGGTTTAAAATTGTACAGTTGTTTACTGCATTTGTGATGAACAGACTGTGTTGTGATGTACCTCTGAAATTTAATTTGGTAGTGTTCTCATGTCCCTTAAATAAAGACTTTAAAAATAAAAAGGAAAAGCTGGTTTGGTGATCTAAACAGAATGTTCACTGGTAGAGTAGTGCCACAACTTTATTAATAGAACAGCTAGAATGTGAAAAAAAAAAAATCACAAAACTCCCACAAAAAACTCATTTCTAGTGATATATTTTCAATTTATTTAAACATGCTATATACATTTCCAAATATATAAAGCTCTCAATATAATAATGCAAAAATAATCAATAAATTAGATATCCTGCATTAAATGAACAGTTGTGCATTATATGACCGTTAACTGCATTGTTCATTGTTAGTTATTCTTATGTGACCTTTGACTGGCTTCTTTGTTTCGTACCCCTCAGGGCTCATTGCCTAGACAGCGCAGGGCTGTGAGCCAGGCATTTTGTGACATGGTGCGAATTCTGCAGTCCTCCGGGTTCAGACTACTCCAATTAATGGACCAATCAGAGAGCGGAGTTTTGGAACAAGTAGGAAGAGAGGCAGTGGAAGATGGACTCACTATGGAAACAAGGCACAATGCCCAGTTAGTACCAGATGGGCAACAGGAACCACTAATGTCATTGGTGGGTATCTCTTTCCTTAACAGTCGTATTAAAAAACATCACTCAGGACTAGATCTACATACCAATCGTCCCTATGTACAATACTAGTGGCACAATGCACAAATGGCTCTGCTAAAAGTCTCTCTAAAACACTAACCACTAAACACAGACTGGGTTATTTACTAAAGGGAGAATTCAAAGTGAAGTTCAGTTTTAAGGCCGAATAGCCGAATTGAAAGTATAGCTGACTTAGAGGTATTTCCAGTTTGGTTATTTTGACTTTCAATTTAAAATTTACTTTAACTTCACTTTAAATGTTTACTTAGTAACTAACCCTGAAATAAACAATTGATTCAAGACACTGTAGCGGGATGGAACTGGTGTAGCATGGTCCTATCTAGATTGCTTAACCCATGTGTAACACTTGCAATCAAGTCTATGGCTTAGTGTACATTACGGGATATCCAGACCGGAGTTGAGTGCCAGAGTAACATGCCCAACATGGACACTAAGAAACCACACATACTGCAATGGATGCAATGGTTTTTCCACTTAAGGAAGTCTACATTTTCCATCTGTTTTAAAAGTCTAAATCTAGTCTGAGTCTGTTTATCTTTGAGCCTTCTGTTTATTCTACATTGGAAACTAGTTATCCACTCCAGCAGATTACTTCTGGACGATCTTCAACTAGGAAAAAAAAACAAAAACAAAAAAACTTAAGGAATTATTTCTGGAAACATTGTTTATGAGTGCTTTACTGTATTTGTTTTTTTTTAGGAGTTGGAAATGTCAAGTGAGGAAGAACAGGTTTGGGATAGACTTCCTATGGCTGTCTCCAAATTTAAAGAGAGTCTGGTCAAGTTATGTGCCGACCACATGGGACAAATGGCGCAGCAAGGTAATTCAGGGACCTTCAGCCTACGTTATGGTTGTGAAAATGAAAGATTTGGTTAACTAGGTTTGGGAAGACTGTAATGTTAGCTAAGTTTTATGTATCATGGACAATACTAGAGATATGATGGTAAAGGATATTTGATTGATGTCGACTCTGGGTATTACTTGGAAAGGCAAACTTTACAATGAATTGTATTATTCATGTGTTATTATTTTACTATTACAATGAACATTTGGAGAGGTTTTCCAAGTGTATATAATGGAGATTAAATCCTAAAAAGAATAGTCTTCGATCTTAGGTTTTACTTTACTATACTCCTTAGTGTGGACCACACGTGCCAGCTGTCTACCACCATCTACGGAACTGTGGAGGAGCCCCTTAATGCCACTTATCCCAAGGGTACGGGCTGACTTTCTTCAATGTAAGAGATCATATATTTACATCCTCTCTTTTTCTGTCTTTACCTTTCTATGAATTTTCCCACCTGCTCCAGTATCACTCCTATATTTACACTAACCTGATTGTGTGGTCATTACACGTCTAGATCTACAGGACATCAGTCTGGACCCAGAAACTGCTCATCACAATCTATCTCTGATGCAAGGGAACCGCAGAGTTTTGTGCAAATTGCAGCCTCAGGCCTATCCCGAACACCCTGGACGCTTTGACCACTACACCCAGGTTCTGGGACGGGAGCCATTAGGCCAAGGCCGACATTATTGGGAAGTCCATCTCTCTGGAAGCCGTGTGAGCTTGGGAGTTTCATATCACGGGATTTCACGTAAAGGGCACCAAAGTCATTGCCTGGCTGGGAGAAATTCACATTCCTGGTGCTTAGAGTGGAGTAGCTCCCGCTGCTGTGCTTGGCATGATGGACAGAGAGTCTTGGTTGCAGTAGGCCAGCAAGAGAGACTTGGTGTGTTCCTAGACTGGGATGCAGGAAGTTTGTCCTTCCATGAGATATCAGACGAAATGCCACTGCTCCACCGCTTCCGTGCATCTTTCATTCAGCCAGTCTATCCCATATTCTTCATTAGTTGGAACTCAGCTGTGTCCATTGGAGTTGAACATACAACGCAACAATTTATAATGAACAAGCGCTTTCATAGACAGCTCTCTGCAAATTTTTAACCTGGTAATTGGAAGTTTACAAGGGGCTACATATATAAAAAAAATATAGTAGATTTCCTCCTGTGAATGTTAAATGTCAGATTCTACCTTATCCTAGGACAGCTTTTATAATATGTTTTACATGGCATTTAAATTGTATTAGTTTAGTTAGCTGCTCCATCTACGTTTGGAAGAACTTTTTGTCAATCTCAAATTCCCTTATTTTTTTTAAGTGATATTGAAGGTTACATCTCCTTCATGTTAGGCTTTCAGGTATTGTATGTATCTTTCTAATCCATAAATTGTCTTTATTCCAGCCTGAGTGAACTCCAGTGAACTTCTTCTGAGGGACACAGAATACGATTTCCATTTAAGGATGGACTCATCTTAGGATGCATTAAGGAGCTACTACTGCTACATTCTAATTAAATTTAAACACACATTATCAACATTACTGTACTATGGGATGTTGTCAATTTAACTTATTGAATCCTGAGGTTCTATCAAAAAGCAAGTGACACTACTTGACAGCAACAGCTTGGGTTCACTAAAGCTTGGTGGCTATGCAAACATCTCTACAATTATCTATATTTTAAAGTGTTGTTTTTAAGTGTTAGGTTATCATGAAGTGTCAGAATTCCATATAAATTATTTTAAAATAAGCGTTCTAACATTGTTTGTGGGTAGAGGTCTCCTCAGCCATGCAAACTGTTTTTCTCCTATTTCATTACCGTTACTTGTTCAATGTCTTTTGCAATGGAAAAAACACTGTGTTTGCAGTCTTTCCTCAATATTGATTCATGTTGACTCCTGCTTTAGTTTGGGAAATATCTCAGTATGTCCGTAACGCAGCACAATGGTCACCGCTCACACTTCACATATTGCCGAGCCCTTTGTCTGCGTAGCTTCACAAACATGGCAGCCTCTTTATCTGAGCGACGAGAGTCTAGTAAGTCAATGAGTCGATCTCCTGCAAGAAATGTAATGAAAGGATAGGATAATATAACACAAATATATACAAGGACAATGCAAACAACTATCTTTTGATTTGTTGGTAAAGAGACTGTTAAAAGGACCCAAGATGCACCATTTAGAAATATTAAAAACAGATTTCACCTACAGCAAACAAAAGTATTAGTTTCAATAAGAACAATAAATAAATGAAAATCATTACTTAGATATATGTTTCTCCAGGCAATATACGCCTTTTAAAAATTGGGCACAATATATTTTTCACATACTAGAATTTATAATTAATAAAATGAAACTAATGGCAACGTTTTAATCCAGTGACAGATTTAATTAATGTTTTGTTTTTTTCCAGTCAGGAAAAATTTGAACCATTTTGTAAAAACTTTTGAAACTTTTTGGATGAACCTTCTGAAGAATCTCTCAAACTTAGATCCATGACAATTGCCATTATTCTGTTTTGTAGAGTTGTATCTATTTTTAAACATCAAAAAAATACATAAACTTAATATTAACCTGTGTTTTGGGTTGTTGCCAACACTGGAACATCACAAACATGTACTTTGTTCTTTGAAAATTTGCACAAACCTGTTCTGTGTGGTGTTGTCACAAGCAAGACAAAATGACATGAATAATTGACATTTCAGATTACTATCACAGAGATTATGTCTGTCTAGTGCCAAAATAAATATCCTTTTTATAACAACACCAGCAATCTTACATAGGCTTATTAAAGGAGCATGATATAGTCAGGATTACAACTCACAATCCGCACCGGTCTCACCGTGGCTGGCTCCGCCTTTGTAGCTGAGATAATCAATCCTGATGATCTCAGCCAATCTAATACTTTTCCATAGGAGAGCATTGGGAGACTATTGCCCATGCGCAGCAAAATGCTTCACTGCATCAATCGGCATCTCCTCTATGGGGAATGTTTGGCGCTTCCGTGAAGAATGTGGAGATGATGAAAGTCAAACACATGAAGCACCTCTAGTGGCCATCTAAATGATGGCCACTAGAGATGCAACTAGCCAGCAATGCAAACACTACTTTTCTTTCAGGCTGTAGGGAGAGCTATAGACTCCAGAATCACTCTATTAAGCTTTAGTGGTTCAGGTAATTATAGTGTCCCTAAGGGACAGGGAGCAAGGGAGCAAGGCAACAAATAGAGTAAGCCTGACATCTACAGGGCACTATCGAAACTCCAACATGGGATGTATATGCAATGAATTTTATTTATCAAGCAGGGTTAATTACTACAGTGAGTATTCAAAGAAAATGTCAAATTTAAAGAGACACTATAGGTACCAGAACACTTCATCTCATTGAAGTGGTCTGGATGAAGTGTAGCTGTCCCCTTAACCCTGGACAGTTTCAGAGAAACTGCAATGTTTATATTGCAGGGTTAAAGGACCACTATAGGCACCCAGACCACTTAAGCTCAATGAAGTGGTCTGGGTGCCAGGTCCATCTAGGGTTAACCCTGCAGCTGTAAACATAGCAGTTTCAGAGAAACTGCTATGTTTACACTAGGGTTAATCCAGTCTCTAGTGGCTGTCTCACTAACTACCGCTAGAGGCGCTTCCGTGTTGCTTTCCTATGGACTGACTGAATGCGCTCGTGGCTCATGCCACGCATGCTCTTTCAGTGGTTGACGTCGGAAGAGGGAGGAGAGTCCCCAGCACCGAGGGAGCCTGGTGCTTGAGAAAGGTAAGCGTTTAACCCCTTCCTCCCCCCTAGAGCCCATCGAGAGTGGGACCCTGAGGGTGGGGGGGACCTAAAGACCCTATAGAGCCAGAAAAACGAGTTTGTTTTCCTGTCACTATAGTGGTCCTTTAAGACAACCCATAGTGGCTGTAAGGCCCTTCCTGGTTCAAACACTTTAACTCCGTGACACATAATTCCTCATAGGAAAGCATTGACGGGGTTAGGTTCCCACATCGGTGCAGCACCAAGGGACCTTGGCGCTGGAAACAGGTAAGTGCCCGCGGGGAGGGGGGCTTAACAAATTATAGACAGAGCAGACTATAGCATAAGGAACACCGTTTTGTATTCCTAAGGCTATAGTGTTCCTTAAAGTGTAAAAATGTTCCTAGTCACCTAAGCTTCCAGTTCAGCTGCTGTGACCTTAAAATTGAAATTCACTTTAAATACCGAACAATTCTCACTTTAGTGAATAACCCAAACAAATGTTCTTTTCAAACTTACTAGGTTTTTGAAAAAGAAGTCCTAAAAGTATCACCTGTATTCAATGTATATTCTAATAAATGTTTGGATACAAAAAGAAGTGTCTGAAAATATACCCATCATTAATATTACTGTATCAAAAACAAAATGAAGCAATGTTACAATGCCAGAAATTGCCTATATGTCCACTATATACACAGGAACATATATACATGTCAGGTGCCTATAGGCAAAGAATTCTAAGGCATTATAAAGTGAGTTTAAGTAGAAGTGGAGTTTTTGGTTAGAGAGGGGTTAATATCAGAGTGAGGTCGCATAGATTGTTTAGTGATAAGAGGATTAAAAGCTTAAGAGGTTGTGTTTTAAGGCGTGTTACAGTAATGTTAAATTTAGTACAATTTACAAATTTAGTATAATGTAGGTACAGAAGATTTTAGGGTTATGGTTGGGGTATGGTTGGGGTAAAGTATATGGTGTCTTGGAGTTTATGGTGTATTTAGTGTAGTAAGAGCAGTTAAAACTATGATTAAGGTAGAGGGTTTTCAAGTTATGGGCTTTTAGTGCTTACATTTGGGACAGAGAAGATAAATTCAGGGTTAATCATAAGGGATGTTTAGAACATTTGGAGTTTGAAGGGTTGCATGCAAAGTACTCATTCTTCTATGCCTTCTGTAGTCTGGTCAGCCACCTCCTGTGAAGTACCCCATACAGGACATAAGCCTACTTTGCCTAATGGGAAATCCAATCCTGTATATGCCCATAAACACTTAACTTATGAATGTTTGTTTTGTCTTTTCCATTAACAACGTCCTGTTTTCACCCTCTATCTTGGTTGGTCTCCAGTACCCACAATTTAGTCCAGGACCGTGGCCATGGTTGGTCGGTACTGCCCTAAATCAACAGAGCAAAATAAAGTGGAAGTTTCACTTCCCTGGATTTTTTATTTTGTGTTTACTCTTCCTCTGTATTTAACAAATATGTATTTGTGAGATGTGAAAAATAAAATGTATATTAATGTTTTTGGATATGAATGGATAATGATTAATTCATCCTGCTGATTGGTTGGAAAAAATACTAATTATGAACTTGGACAGAACACGGTCACACCACAATATGTAAATAAAGGACTTGTAAACATACCAATTAGGGCGATTGGAACGGGATTACCCTTTCCAAGATGGAAAGGCAGCATCGCATCCAGAGGAAGCCAGAAGTAACCAGCAAAATGCGGTGGGCGGAGTGTTACGGAGCCGAACGCATTCAAATTGAACAGAGGGAACTTTCAAAATCACCAGGAGAAAGCTGCATTCAGTGTTGTAAGGACGGCTGAGCACACTAGAGGATCCCTGAACACAGGACCTGATAGGTTCTGAGTGAGTAAGCCAGTTTGTGAGTGGCGGTGGAATTCTGTTTTTACTCACCACTTTTTCCGGTATGCAGGAGTATTTTTTATGTGTTTAATATGTTGATTTTTTTGCTATAGCGTTAATTTTTTTAAATTAAAAATACTAACATCTATCCATTCATATATGTATCAGTAAACCACTATTCACGTTTTTCTGTTCAATGTAGGTAATACACCACCATTGAAATTATCCTATTTTAAAAGGGTAATGCACTATTATTTGCACTATCTGTTTTTCCGCATATGCATCCCTGAGTTGGCTGAATGATTGAAGGTGCCGCTTATGGATATATAGGTATAACATATCTTTTTTTTATTTTTTGGTGTGGGGAATATGCACTAAATAATACTGCTCCACTTCTATCTGTTTTGGGTTGCATTCTAAATTGTGTGTTGGGGTATAACACATGAGTGTGTAGCAGTCTTTTATATTTAAAGTGCACAGCACTAATATATCAGTTTTATTCCTGAAATTAAGGAAATCCAGAGAGTCAGAGAAAGTTAAAAATATTTTCTTCATTTTTTGCATTACTGAACTTCAGCGCTCCAGAATTAATTAATATTCATGATTTATTCATGTAGAAATTCTTATGTGTGACAGAGGAATATTACAGAAATATATTCTGACCTTGGGGATTGGGTTGATTTAGGGACAATCGCCTCTGTGGTATGTTGGTCAAATGTCCATTGTTCTCCTGTTCATTCTGTAATGATATAAGATCTCCTAAGGCCACAAATGCTTCCCCCTCCAAGTTATTAGACAGAAATGTTTCATAATCAAAGACCGATAGTAAAAGGCAAGCTCCGGCCACTTCACATTGCTCATGGGTGACAAGGCTATGAGAAAGAAAAAAAAGATTGGGTGAAAGTTTGGGTTTAGCTTTCTCATCACAGAAATACACAGGATTTTATTTATAATGTTATCCAAGCAATACAAAATCGTGCAATGATTAAGTCTCTTCGGTTAACTCATTTATGGTGATTTTTAATCAGAACTAGATTTCAAGGCTATAAAAGTCATTCTTTAAAAACAACTTACAAGTCAAAGGTCTCGTCATACAGCGGGTTCAGTTCATCCTTCTGTGTTTGGGTAGAACGTTGCTCCACTGCTGGAAATAGGTGCTTGGGTTCCAGTGTGATTTGCACAAATGGGTCACAGCTGCCTGTGTGGGAGGTAAAGCAGGAAACCTAATGAAGTTGGAGTCCATGGTAATTGTAACCCATTGAATGGCAGTCTATGTCACAATTTGGTCCTAACAAAACCTACTCTTCCGTGGCATGTCTTGTTTATTAAGCATTAGCAGGGATCGATTGAGCTGCTAATGGTAAATAAGCATAGAATTCTATTCTAGAACGATACCATGGACCAACCTGTAATCATGGCATGCATTGTCATTGGACATTGAGGGGCTAATCAAAACTGCAGTGGAACAGCAAACAAGAATCCTTGTTCTATGTTGGTGGTAAAATACTTGAACTTTCACAGCCAGTTCAAAGGTGACTGTTACCTTAAACTAATCCTTTCATCAAGTTTTGGGGCAAAATAGATTTTTTTTTTTAAAGAAACTATATTTAAAAAAAAAAAAAAACTCATCCTTACCTATAGTGTATAACATGATTCCTCAGCCATATACATACACACTGGGTCAGACAGTGTTTTAAAAACCAACAGTTAGTTTACATTGTATTCTCTGCTTCTGTGCAGGGAGTGAATCAGGGAATATCACAGAGACTAACTGCCAACAAGGAAGCAAGACTGGGATAAAATTCAAAATGCGTGGATAGAATGATGAGCTACAAAACGAGTTAGAAGTTAACAATGAGTGAATGAAAGTGAACAGTATATGTTAGCAGTGCTGCAGTACATTAGTTCGGGCAGAATTAGAAAGACATTTAAAATAATTATCAAGATGCCTTCTTAGTTACAAAATCAGTTACAGTCAGTATGAGACACAAAGCATAACACAAAGGGGATATTCTCAGGCATTTAACAGATACAAATTTGTACTGAAAGGAGAAATACAGTGCTATTCACTAAAGTGAGAATTGAAGGTAACATTTTTATTTCAAGCCTAAGAAGCCAAACTGGAATCATAGCTTTTTCAAGTGGGCAATTTTGGTCGCACATTTGAAATTCACTTAGAATTTTCACTTTTATAAGTATCCCTGACAATAACAATGAAATTGAGAAAATTAGAAAGAAAATAGGTAGTAATCAAGTGAAGTGTCTCTCCAATGTAATTATTTTGCCCTAAGTGTTAATTTATTTTCTACCAAGTTGTTTTAATTCTACCAATATTTTGTTTAAAACAAGATGTGTAGGTAACACAAAAACAACACATTTTGATGTTCTCTACCAAGTAAATCTATGTAAAGACAGAATTCCCCTTTTAAACCAATAAGTATATCATTGACCCACCATTTGCATTTCGGGGAATGAGATTGACTGCATTAAGGATCTCCACTCTCAATTTCTGCTCTGACGGTAGATAGCTGGCTTTTATTGTGACTGCTCCATATTTCTCAGAAGTGGATTCCCGCTGTGAACAGTTACAGAAGTCAAAGAGTATTCCATCATCAAATTAAACTGCATGCAGAATTTAGCTTGAATACATTCAAAATAAATAAAATACATTAAAAAATTATAAAAATTAAAAGATACTTTGAGGGGGCAGGACGTGATGGTTATAGCGGATGGACGTGACTTGGAGAGCTCCATGCTTATCTCACAATATAGCTAATTTAAGCTTTTCTTTTGACATGATTTTTGAGATTGGTTGGGACTTACCTTTTCCTAGAACTGACTAATTAGCCTTGAAGTATTTCTTGCAGAATCCTGCTATGCCCCAACAGCATCAAGACGATGCTTGTTGCTCCCCTTCCCTCCCCCCCACCCTTTGGACTGGTGGGGTAATGACGTGGAGCTGCCGTGAGACTAGGCACAAGATATAGCGTCCCACTCAACATGGCAGATGCTGTGTACCCCTGTGAATACTGCAGTAAGATGTCCAGTATTATGTCTCAGCTTGACAAAATCTTTGCGGATGTTTGGCAGAAACTGAAAAATACACTGAACCAGCCTGCTCTGTGGCTGACGAGCGACTACTCACCTCAAAGTCCACCCCTACATGTATTTCAATGGCTTCAACCATAGAGAAGGTGCAATTATGGTGGCCCCAACAACAAGTATTGGGGAGGGCTGAGTATGGGCCCGCATCAAGGCTTGGTCTACACAAGGAAAGTCTTGGGACTCATTGGAGGGCTGAAAGACTGAGAGTTAAACAAATGACAACTATGGGACTCTTCCACTACTGTGCTTGGATAATGCATTTACCAACACCTGGGCAACTTGACCTGAAGAGCTGCTTCATTCGGTGGGAATATGTTCTGCCCTTGGAGGGCATAGGCTGATCTGGGTTTTGGGTATCTCACCTCACATCACTACTTCACAAAATAACTCAATGTGGAGCAACAAGTTTATTCAATTTTGGTTTTCCTATTGCCTTATCAGTTTAAATTTCAATTAGTATCTAATTATTTCTTAGTCCTTAATTGTTCTAGACCTTTACCTATTATATTTCTAGGAGCCTACTGGGGGAATTATTCTGGTAGAAACACGATTGTATACATGCCTTGCTCTATTATTTAAAAATTGTGCAGATACATAGCAATGTGATTAATGCAATACTTGTCATCTCTTTGCTATACTGTGATATTGTGCTCAATGTTGTATTGTTATGCCATTGCACAAGAAAATGAAAAAAAAGAAAAAGAAAAGATACTATGAAGTTTTAATATTTGCTGCAAATACATTGAATTTGCAGTTTCTGCAGAGAGCTTCCTTCATACTTTGAAGTAGATGAAACTCTTCAGCCAATCCTGGTGTTAATATTTTCTATGCAAGAGTCGAAAAAAATCTTCTCAACTAATCCAGATATACTTATATAGTACAAATACAGATACTTGTATATTTAGGTAAGAGTAGTATAAATTTCCCATAAGCCCCTGTGTGAATAAAAATTCATGAAAAGGAGAAGACCTCCAAAAGGGGGCCTGGAGTGTGTAAAGGGACTTCAAAGGGGGTAACCCTAAGAATTAGATAAATTGTATACAGAAAATGTTTAATGGATACAAAGTGCAGAGGACACAACAAAGTCCCTATATGGATACTATGTGTTATTCAATATGATTACAAAATTCAGTTTATTAGATATTAATTAAAAATATATAGCAAACCACAACAGAAAAGGAAAAAGGAACCTTATAAGTACACAGAGAGTAGAGAACAAAAGCTAATAAGCTCTGCAATGTAAGAGGGGTAGAATGAGTTCTGTAGCAATGAAGGTTGCTTAAAATGTCTATAATTAGAGGTAGGAGGAACAAAAGTTAAATAGATCAAAATCACTCTTGCTTAAAGTGGTTATGGTGAGTGAAAGACATATTGTTCACAAAGGGTTAACCAACTATTGTAATTGCTAAGCACTATAGGACCTATGAAATAAAGCAACAACATATTGAAATCAGTAACCCCACACCTAAGAGGAATCCCTAGGATATATTTTACTCACCAAGGGTTAACCAACTGATTGTAAGTTGCTGAACAGTATGAAACTTTTGAAGTCTATCGACAATGATTTGAAATCAATAACCCCCCCCTCCCCCAAAAGGAATCCTGAGGAAATAGTCACCATCAGGCCCGGATTGCTCATCGGGCATACCGGGCAAATGCCTGGTGGGCCACGATGGCCATGGGATCTCCCCTGTCGGCCCATGCAGAGCTGGCATTATGCGAACGCCAGCCCTGCTGTGTGCCTTCATGGGTCGGTGGCGAGATCACAGGCAGTTACACGCAGCCGCCGGCTGGGGAGGAAGGGAGAGAGGACCCGGTGGAGCTCTAACCTGCAGCTCTGCTGGGTTCCTCTCATGAGATCTGGAGCATTGCCGTGGTTACCATGGCAACACTCAGATCTCGCGAGAGTGAACTCTAGCCCTGCAGACTAGAGTTCACTCACCACTAGGACCACCAGGGTTGATTGCACAGCCCCCCTCCCAGGGCAGATATAAAGTTTACTTTTTTTTTATTTAAAAAACTATATATAATATGTTTAAATCTGTCCTCCCCCAAAACACAATGCTTCAAAACATATTCACACACACACACACACAGCACCCACAGACACACACAACACCTTCACACACCCAGCACCCTCTCACACACACAGCACACTTACACTAACAGCACCCTTACACACACAGGAACATTACACACAACACCCTCACACATACACACATATATATATAACATATAAAATGACCCTCAGTGAGTCAACAGACAAATAAAATTAGAAACGTAGAATATGACGGCAGATAAGAACACCCTCTTAATCACACACTGCACCCTTCACACATACACACAGTACACCCAACACACAGCGCCCCTCACACATACAATACATCCAAATATATATGTATATATACTACAGCACCCCTCACACCATTACACACATTACGCTCCAGATACACACTAGATCCCAGCTCTGGATCATCTAATTTACACACACACACTAGATCCCTATATACACTCTGAATCCTCTACACACACATACACACACAGAGAGACACACACTCACTATCTCATATACACACTCTGGGTCCTTTACCCACTAGATCCCCTACACACACACTGCAACACCTACACACACTAAATTCCTGACATAGAAACAAACGCATACTGCATTCTCTAAACACACACTCTCTACAACCCCTACACACTATGCCCCCTATACTCACACTCTCTACAGCCCCTGCCTACACTACATCACCTATAAACACATACACTACATCCCCTATACACACTATGCCCCATATAAACACTCTCTCACTCTCTGCAGCCCCTGCCCACACTACATCACCTATAAACACATACACTACATCCACTATACACACTATGCCCCCTATACACACACTCTCTCACTCTCTACAGCTTTATTATATTTGCTTGCTTTGCTCAGAACAAATACAGGGCCTTTTCCCCATGCTAGAGCTCTTCAGCAGGGCTCTGCGCATTGAACCAACATGCTCACTTAGAGAGGGGCAATGCTTGTCATTAGTGATGACAAAACACACCCTCTCTGGGAGCTGCCGTGATTTAAAAATGCCCGGGCTGAATTTTTTTCCCAGTCCGGCTCATGTCACCATCTATTGTTCACAAATGGTTAACCAACTATCAGAATATATATAGGAGGGATGAAAGTAAAGTAGATCCAAGTCACTCTTGCTTAAAGTGGCTATGGTGAGTGAAAAACATTGTTCACAAAGGGTTAACCAACTATTAGAATTGCTAAGCACTATAGGACCTATGAAATTAGATGACAATATATTGAAATCAGCAACCCCCCACCTATGACGAATCCCTAGGATATATTTTACTCACAGGTTAACTAACTGACTAAGTTGCTGAGCAGTATGAAACTTTTGAAGTCTCACCAAGGAATTATGTAGCAATGAAGGCTGCTTAAAATTTCTATAATTAGAGGTCTGAGGAGCAAAAGTTAAATAGATTAAAATCACTCTTGCTTACAGTGGTTATGGTCAGTGAGAATATATTATTCACAAAGGGTTAACCAACTAACAGTTTAAATACCATATGGTGTAGTGCAGGGATAAGCAACGTGTAAGTCGTACTGTGCCAAAACAAGATCTTAAAGTTCATTGGCGCGCCGGTCCTATTTTTAAATTGAGGTGTGTATGTTCCCGTATTAGTTATGGGTGCTGCAGTTGCTTTACAGTGTTGTATTTGTGCGTATGTGAATTGTTATATTGTATATGTTCATGAGCAGTTTGTGGCAGTGTGTTCGATACCCATGGATGTGGGCTGTGTATGGTGGATGCTTGTGGAATTGTGTGTGTGTATGATATGTCACATTGTGTGTGTGTGTGCGACTGATTGTGGTATTGGAATCAACACTCAGTTTCAGCTAACAATTATCTAAAGTCCCACTGGAACTCCTGATTGGTCACAGCATGTTTGGCTCTGGCACCCTTAAGTGCTGTGCAAAGGCACCTTGAGTGCCATAGGTTGCTGCCCATGGTGTCAAAAAAAGTACAAGTAATCCTTTGGTGACATCTCATGGTTTAATTAATTCCATTCCTGAATAGAAATATAGGGATATGTGTTTGTTTTGTCTTTAAAATATCTAGATCGTTTAAATATTTTTAAGGTAATAGTGCCACACAGACATATTCCTATTCATCAGTAAATTAGAACAGAGGGGGCAGAGTCAGATCCAGATCCCCCCAACGTAAAATGTCACCAGTCCCCACTAATCCACAGCTCTTCACAGAGCGAGATAACATAAGGCCCAGGTTTTGGACAGGTGCCACAGTACCATTATTCTGCTTAGCCTGATTCAAAATGTATTTGAAGAATGAAGGTGAGCCACCAACCTGTGGATTGTTAATCATTCTCTGCTGAGCCTTTTACATATATAACCTTTCCCTGAAAAACACTAGCTCCAGAGTAATCTCATGAAGGACCACTTACTTGCTGCTGGATCCGCTGCTGGTAGTAACACTCTATGACTTTCCGAGTGGAAGATGAGCAAATCTGAAGTTCTTTCTCCAGATCCTACACAGAAGGAATAAGTCGCATTCAGTTTTGATAACACATAGTAATAGATTGAAATCTTGCAAGGCAGAGAATAAGTGAAAAAGTATATGCAATTCAGTTAAATAACACTGACTCCACAGCAAAAGCTGAAAACTGAAAAAAAATTAAATAATAATAATACTCTACTTTGTCATACCCTGAATAAATAACATGTCCCTTTCTACCTAAAATGTAATACTGTGCCAATATGTGGTATTTTATTTACAGTCATATTTACTTTAGTTTACATTAAAGGATCACTATAGGGTCAGGAACTGGGGAGAGCATTCTGCTCAGGCAAAAAAAGCTCTAATACACAAGGCTGGGAAGATGAAGAGTGCGTCAGGATTTCAGCGATAGCCAGTTTAGCTCTTTTAACAATAGTATCCTGAGGTTTTTTAAATTGCCATAGTTACAGGGTGTTTTAGTGGATACATATGTATCATAGGTATGAGTTGATTAAAGTAAAACGACATTTATGGAGCTTGCATTTTCTTTTCACATGGCCATGCCTTGCACGGCATCATGAAGGCAATTAAACAGTAACAGTTAAGACAGCAGTTAGCATAACTGGAGCATTTCCAGTCTCTGACATCAACAGTTTTACTATGCAAGTAAACACAAGTTTACTATGCCTTTAAAGGGTATATGTCATTATCAAAATTTCATTACTGAATAAAACATTGAAAATCACTCAATACTTAAGTAAAATGTTTATTTTCTGAAGATTTAGTAAGTAACATCAAAATTCAGTTTAGTTAGGGCACAGCCATGGCATAAAATGCAAATTAAGAGGAAAATAGAAACACTGTTTCTGTTTTTCTTCTTCCACTAATTGTATTCAGTGGCGGAAAAGGGAAACATTTATAATGATGACTGACCGAGAGCCCAGTTCAAGGGCTGTGCATTTCTACACAGCTCACAAATATATATTTGTTAAAGATAAGGGATAAGTTAAACTACTATTAAAATCCTAGGATGCAACAGCTCCCTTTAAATATAAACAAATAAACAGTTGTGGTTTCCTAAGATAATGTGATTTCCTAGACATCGTACATGCATTTTCACATGCTTTAGAAAGAGTTGTAGAATGAGATAGAACAGGTGTAGTTAACATTTGACACTCCAGATGTTGTGGACTACATCTCCCCTGATGCTATGCCATCATTATGGCTGTTATGGAAGTTGTAGTCCATAACATTTGGAGTGCTGAAAGTTACCTCCCCCTAAGTTAGGAGAAGAATGAGAGTGTGTGAGCTGAACTGGAAGGTAAGTTCTAGGAGGGAAGAAATATTGGGATGGGGGTATAATGTGATTAAGATTACAGTCCAGAGAGGAAGTAACTACAATGAAAAGAACACACTGGCGTCATGGAAGAGAGAAAAAAGTCAAACAAAGTATGTTTAGTAGAAGAAAATGTCAAGGATTAAGAACTGGTATGGTAGGGGAGTTCTGGGTAAGAATGGAAAAGGCTGAAAAGTTAAATGATGTAAGGAAGAAGGTGTGTGATTTGAGTGAGATGTGCTGGAAGGGATGAGGACATAAGAGGAAAAGAGCATGTTAAAAAGCAGGTTAATGCACTTGTACACAATAAACTTACCGTGAAAGTGGATATATGAAGGTCCTCCAGCTGCAGGCCACAACCTTCTGCATGGAAACATAGCTCCAGATTCTAGAACAAATAATATACCTATGAAATTTTAATTGTCATAAGCAAAAAAAAACCTTTTTCCTCAGAAAGGATCCTTGAAATCTGATCATATCCAGCTATATGTATAGTGTGTATATATGTGTGTGTAAGGACCAATTGTTACACATGGAAATCATTACAATCAGTGTTCTGCAGTACGATCTTCTAATCCTCTGTGGGGATCATACCACCAATACTGAGAAGTTTGAACAGAGTATGCTGCTCACAAAAGTGTGAGTACATTTCTTTTATTACACTCTGCACTTTCTACCTTGAAGGAGAGCACTGTTGGTCTTTTTTTTACTCTATTGCATATGTTGTCGATGCTGAAGACCATAGGACCTACATATATCCATAGGTGGTGATTGTACCACCATATGCCTGATACATTGAGATTATGTTGAGGGCTCCTTCATTGTGAGTGTATTATTCTCACATTTATTCACATATACAGTATTACATTATTGGTTTTTATATATTTTGTCTGAGAAACGTATTATTCATGCACAATTGGTCACAACTGGCAGTCACCTATCAGGAATATATACTTAACACTGGATCCAATATACTGAATGACATAAATATCTGAGCTGATTTGAAACTCTTTCAAATGTGAGCAGCATTCACAGGTTTTATTTAATTGTGTATGCCAACTTGCTATTTAAATCTGCACCATTGTTTTTTATTTCTGTTCTCTTTTGTATGTATCTGTGAATTGAAGCCCAGCAGCATTAAGATCAAGAATTGTCCACATTTAAACCTCATGGATTTAATCCAGTTGTACTTTAAAAAAAAAAAAATTATATTTATTGTTATTTGACTCAACCTGTGTTTCTTTTTCTGGTGTATAACAACCTACAATAAACTGTTTACTTCTAACCAAGGTATTTTTTTAAAGATGTTTTTATAGTATATATTACTAATGCCATGCACAAAGGTTTAGTTTCTATCTAAACACAAAGTTTAGGACCACCGGTAGAGGTCCACAATTTAGATAAATCAAATGTTCTGTCCATTAGCTACATATACATCATAATCTTAATATTCTACCATCTTTTATGCATTTTAGCATAGGGCCTCACCTTTAGCGCAGTGTGCAATCTCTGGTAGTACCGGGGAGAGGAGCTGGAATGTTTCGACAGACTGGAGATCACTGTAAGGATGTGAGACCAGAGCAGAGATAGGAGACTGCAAGGGGGTAAACAAACATGAAGTCAGAGAGTCAGAGGAAAGAAGATAAACAATTAAGAAAAGGGTGTTGGGAAAGCAGTGACTTTGCAGCAAGATAAAGATAAAGGAACAAGTATGTCAACAGAGACGTCCAGATAGTGGAGTAAGATGAACTAAGGACATTAAATTTGGGAAAGGGGTTATGGAAATAAATTTCTATCTCAGAGTAAATGAAGGAGTAAGGTTTTTGCTTGTGCATTAATAATTGATGTATCATATATGGTCGATGTGAAAGAAACTTTGTGGCAAAATTAGCCACTGGAGACTATCAGTGTATGAGTCTGTTTGTATTCTTTCTAAAGCTGTAGAGACAAGTGTAGGATTGTAATTGCATTTCAGGCGAATGAGGGCATTCGTATGCTGGCGGCATGAAAATCCCAGCATTCATACTGTAGTTTCACGAACAGTGAGTTTCAACACTGTTCGTGAAACGAATAACCTACCGAATGGACGACCACACACAGGAGGTCGTGTGGCACCCATTAACCAATTGCAACATTGTTGCAATCGGTAGTTAAGTGTGTTCCTAGGTGGCCGTCGTTCGGCTACCGACCACGCGGCGGTCGGCCATCTTGGTTCCTTTGTTAGCCCAGCGGGGTTTGGTCGTCGAGCGCCTGGAACCAAAATCGGCTACTCGACGGCGCGAACCCCGCTGGACTTCCAGGCCGTTCGGGAGCCCCGGCCGCTCGGTAGGTTGTTCCCATGATGTCAATCGGTACTTTGAGTAGAACTTGAATTTAATGTGTGTTTCGTGCGTCCATTCGTTTAAATTAAGGAAATATTATGGGAATTATGTATTTTAATGTGAAATGTAAGTTCTGCTGCACCGGGGGATAATCCACTTAGCTGTATATTCTAGTGGGAGTATCCCTCTTGTGCAGCAGTGCATGGTGGGGAAAAATGTATGTATTGTTCAGTTCCCCATGTAGTCCCCTACTGTGCCACCCCTGGAATGTTAGTAGGGAAACCCCTTGCATGGGGAATCCCATAAATACTGTGCCTGTAATTAAAAACCTCAGTTGACCTCCAAGCTATGTGTCGTCTAGTTCTTGAGAGGAAGGGATTGTAACTACGCTACCTGCATTTTGTCTGTTTTGTATCGGATTATCCTGTCTACCAGCGGAGATACCGTGGATAATACTACTACTCCGCTACAAACTTTAATGTTTTGGGTGAAGTTAGGAGAGACAGTGACTCCGCAAAGGGAGTTGAGGGATGTTAAATTTCTTACCAATTGAAGTTTTCCTGCACTAGATTCTGGTTCATATACTGCAACTCGGATTCCAGGAACTTCATCAATGGTACAATACACTGTAGGGAATTAAAGGGCTATGAGTTTAGCATCCTAAGAAGCACATTTACAGAATGCAAGAATAATGAGATTGGGGGCATTACTAGTATGAGAATAAATAATGGAACTAAATAATTAGCAATAGAGACATACTCACATCATTAGGATCTTTTGAGTCATTTGAAGCAGCCAGAGAGTGAAGGTGTTTAGCAATTCCAGAGACAAGCTGTGTGACAGAGAGACAGAATAAATATACGAGCGACTGCATGAACATAGTGAGAAAAAGGAACAAAGAGTGTTACAGAGAAAAGAAAAAGAGGAATATGTGTAGACAGAATGTCCTTGGGACTGACAAGAAACAAATAATCTATGAAAATGAGGACAGTGATAATATTAAAGATAGAAAGGAAAATGGAGGCAGAGTGAGATTAGATGTCCAAAGAAAGGAATCCTAACTTTCTGAGCCAGTGCTTGTATCACCAATCTGATCTCATGGTCCAGACATCCTACAGCAATCTGGAGTTGTCCATTCAATGTATGCTGGAATTGCTCTTGGCTTATAACATTACTCGTTTTGTGCTCTAGAACTTCCCATTCCAAATTCCTTGGCAACGACCGCACCACCAAACGCAACTGTTCAATATTATTTACTACAAGACACAGCTGAGAAAGTAAATGGAATAAGTCATGTTATTATGGCAATAGAAAAAGAAAAGTAAATTAAAAAAAATGTAATTTGTTTATTATCACCTTGTTTGCAGCTCCTCCAGCGTCTCCTCTACCTGATAGTTCTTCAGCTCGTTTCTTAATCAGTGAGCAGTATGTAAGGGCAATACGGCACATGTCCTACAGAATGAGGTGACATGGTCAATAGAAATAGGATTCAGCTTAGATCAAGACTACTTACTTTGCTCTACATGGAAGTTGTAAAGATTTTGCAATAAATGAATAAATACAGAATTGAAATAAACTCTAAAGGTATTACATATTTCGAGGTATTTTATCTTCAATTATGCAAGTTGCCTTTCAAGTCACATAATTTCTATTTCTAGTTAATAAACCCCTATGCATAGTTGGAAAGTGTCTTGATTTTGTTGAAAAGGTCTTGAGAGTAGAATATATATGAACTAGTTAGATGTTTCCACAAACATCCCTATTTTCCTATGTTTCTGAGAAAAAACATCAACTGCTCAGGTGGAAATATTAATACTTTACTGGTGTGTTCCTAAATGAAAGAGGAATAAACCTATAGTTTGTCTTAAAGGAACACTATAGGAACCCAGACCACTTTATCTCAATTACGTGGTTTGGGTTCTATGTGCCCCCACCCCTGCCCCCTTTTAACCGTGCAGTTGAAAACATTTGCTTTGCAGAGTTAACCAGCTTCTAGTGGTTGTCAACAGCCACTAGAGTCGCTTTCCAAAATAGCAGAGTAAAGCTGCTATTTTAGAGATGCCATCTGATTGGCTCAGCGTGGTATGTTGCCGCACATGCGCACTTGTTTCTCAATTTTTTCCTATGGGAAAGCATTTGATTGGTTAAGATCATCTACTGTCGCGGGAAGACCTCTTTTTTTTTTTACATTCTTTATTTAGGTCATGACATGTATCAAGGCATAGTATTCATTCATTGTTGTGGCTTGCGCAGAAGCCGATGTTAGCATAGTTTAGTAGGTGCGTATCATATACAACAAATATGTTCATAGTCTGTCACATTTTTTCATTTTTCACTTCCTATGTGCAGGGGGGAGAGCATACATGCAGGTACCTGGTGGTCACCACCAGGTACCTGCATGTATGCTCTCCCCCTGCACATAGGAAGTAAATGTTGTTGTTTTTAAAATTAAATTATTAATTTAAGCCCATATCCAACCATAAAGTTATAAAAAGGAGTAAATGAGAATTTGTTTTGTTTTATTTTATTTTTTTAAATTATTAAATAATTAATTTAAGACCATATCTATATACACCCCCTCACATATACACACACAAACATACTACACACACTGCACTCCTTGCACTAACACGCTACACACACACTGCACCCCCTGCACTAACATACTACACACACACACACTGCACCCCCTGCACTAACACACACTACACACACTGCACCCCCTGCACTGACACACTACACACACTGCACCCCCTGCACTAACACACACACTGCACCCCCTGCACTAACACACAAACATACTACACACACTGCACCCCCTGCACTTACACACTGCACTGCACCCCCTGCACTAACACAGACTACACACACTGCACCCCCTGCACTAACACACTACACACACACACTGAACCCCCTGCACTAACACACACTACACCCCCTGCACTGACACACTACAAACACTGCACCCCCTGCACTAACACACAAGCATACTGCTCCCCTGCACTAACACACAGACACACTGCACCCCGTCCCCCTGCACTAACACACAAGCATACTGCTGCCCTGCACTAACACACAAACACACTGCACCTCTGCACTAACACACAAACATACTGCTCCCCTGCACTAACACACAAACACACTACACACACTATACCCCTATATACACTATACCTCCTGCACTAACACACAAACATACTGCTCCCCTGCACTAACACACAAACACACTACACACACTATACCCCTATATACACTATACCTCCTGCACTTACACACAAACACACTGCACAGATGCTAAACCCCTCTATAAATACTACACACACTCTATATACCTGTATGCACATAACACCCCCTGCACTCACACAAACACACTACACACACTCTATACCCCTTATATACACACTATACCCCCATCACTCACATACGCACAGTAAACACACTCTATACCCCCTAAACATACACTACACTCCCTGCACTCACATACTTTATATCCCTATAAACACACATATTACACCCCCTTCATGCACACACACTAATTTATATCCCCTATAAATACACATTCTACACCCCCTGTACACACTACACCATCTATGCATACATTGCCGCACCTATACACATGTGCTCTACAGCCCCTATATGCATACACACACTAGAGCCCCTAGATACACTCACAAACACACTGTACAGTCCTTACATGCATACAATATACATCCCCTAGGCCCACGTACTCCACAGGCCCTCTAAACACACACACACACACACACACACATACACACATACTTTACAACCCAGAAACACACACACACACACTACAGCCCCTAGCCACACGTAGTACGGCACAAACAGACCCTTTTATACATACAATCAACACAAATAGTTATTTGGTGGGGGGTGCGTGTTAGTGGTGGTGACATTACACGTCCCCTTTCTGGCCTCGCCCCTCCGAGTGGGCTGCTCTGCCTTTAATTGCCCGGGCTGAATTTTTGTCCCAGTCCGGCCCTGAATTCCTTATTGATATCTATAGGGTTGTTTAGGGATTTTTTCCTGGGTGTCTTTTATTACTGTGAGATTCGCCGCTATGCGTTTGGGTCTGAGGGCCCTTGCTAGTAGTGTGTCCATTTTATTGGACTTTTCATAGAATAGGCGTTTTATGCGGATCATATCTTTGCTAACATCATCTATCATGAGGGGGAGACCTCTTTTAACTCTTGCAGTGATTAGAGCACTAGGAATACATTTTTTGTATTCTTACCGCCAATTAATATGTGTATTCCTCTCACTAAAGGAGCAGTGTCAGGGCATTACACAAACATGAATAAAACACAGACTATGTCAATAACCATCTGATAAAAAGCTTGCTCTTCTCTTCCTCACCTCTGTGAATTTAACCATGATCATGAATGCCTCCTCTGGATCAGGCCAGTCTAGCTGTTTCCATGTGCGTCCCATTTGCGTGAAACACGTGGACAGATCTACAGTTGATGCACTGTGTTTCTGAAAATCTGACAGTGGCACTAACTGAGAAAAAAAAAAAAAAAATCAATGCATTGTAGAACCATAACAAATACAGTATATGACATATGTGTTTTTTTAAATCATGTTTTATTTCTTATTATAAGTAGTGGTGTCAGAAATTATGGACATTAATTTGGTCTTTTTTAGGCTTCAAATAATTATTTGAAGAAAGAAGACTAGTGAGGATAAGTATATTGTTGTTTTCAACAGGTATTAGATAAATTGCCCCCCCACCCCACTATTATTAGGGTGAGGAGAAGGTCAGGAAGGCAGTATGTTTTTTATTGTGGACCCCTAGCCACGCTGGAGATGCTATTATTTGGGGGGGGGGGGTGGATTATTTTTTTTTTAAATAGTTAGGGCCCTCACATATGATAGGGGACTGGGGGAGACACTAGGTCCTCCCCACTGAATTATTAATATTGGGATCCCCACCCACCGCCAATAGGTGGCAGCCAGGGGGACACTAGGTTCTCCCCCCTTTATGATTAACATTAGGGCCAACACTTGTTGCCAATTTGTTGGGGCATTTTAGAGTAGCCCCAATCCCATGGGTGGTGGCATGGTGGGGACTATGTCCGCCACGTTATTTCACAAGCCACATGATGGGGCCTCTTCTAGCAACGGAAGCCCACTTGCTAGTTTTAACATGTTAGTAGATATGCCCCTGTGGCGAAACCAACCTCGCCACTGTACACTGGAGAATCCTGGTTGCTCACCTGCTGCCTTTAACCGCAGCTTAATTGACGAATGCTGGGTGGCCGCGATTCGTATCATGAACACGAGGTCGCGGCCATTTTAAACATGCGAATGCGCAGCGGCGTTCGACGCTTAATTCATGGAACTGAAATCGGACACAGTTTTGCGCAAACACCGCTGAAGCCGCCGACCTCCCTTCTTGTTCGGTGGAAGTGCACGAACGGCCCGGTGTTTGGTAGTTTTGTTTGAGTGTGTTGTGCCCCAGATAGGTATCCCATGGAGCCCATTCGCATGAAACTGACTGTGTAAAGACTTTGGCTCCATGGCGATTAAACTGTATTCGTGTGGTCTGAGCGCCATTCGCTTAATAATGTGCGCTCAGACCTGAACTATCTGGGGATATGTAGAACGTATATGTTTTATGTACTGCATGTAACTGTATGTAATTTTATGTCTTTTACTGTTTGTTTTCTGCCATGTGGTTAATGGAGTTTTGCCTCTGACTTTGGAGATAATTGGATTACTTCCAATTATCTCCAGGGCAGAGAGGAGGGATTGTGATGCATTATGGGATGGTTGAAATTTGTAAGTCTGATTGGTCCTTTAACCCTTTGTGTCCCAGTCTCCCATTTGGTCCCCTAGGGGAGTGTCCACCAGGTGGGAGACCTGCATAAAAGCCGGGCAGTTAGCCCCAGTAAATCAGTTCCTGCTTAACCCTCAAAGTAAAGTGTCGTCTCATTATTGGGGGAGGATTTACTGTATGCTGTTAGAGACTGATTGCCAGGAGTGTAAGCCGCTTGGGGGCTTTTCCTGTTCATCTGCTAGCAGCTATTCGTGTGTCTCCAGTTCGGGAGTTTCGAGTATTCCCTTGGTATGCAGTTCGGGAGTTTGAGTATTCCCTTGGTTGCAGTTCGGGAGTTGGTGAATTCGTGGGTTTGCAGTTCAGGAGATTGGTGCTTGCAGTAGCTGTCGGTGCAGCTGAAAAAGGGGAATATTGCCTAAACGGTTTTTAACCTCTTTTGGGCAAAACGGTCCGTTACAGCCCCCACCTGCCGCATGGCAAATAAGGGCAAATGGAGGGAAAATACCACCATTATTGTAATAAGGAGGCATTTTTGAGCCCCATAGGATCTTTATTTATAAATTAATTTATTTTTTAACATTTTAAAATCCAGGCCCAGAGCTGAAGCCTGGATTTAATTAATTAAGTCCTGAATTCAACCATTCGGTGGTGTTCAGTATAGCTGATATCCAGACCAAATTCAGGCCTGTTCAGGGCCTGATTTACTCAACCTGGACATTGTTAAATTCCATCTGGATTTTGCAGTCCTAATGGCCCCTATTTGCAACCAGATGGTTTTGCCACATTCGATTTGGGGCCATTTGGACTTTGGTAAATAACCCTAATAGGGTAGCTGTAGAGAAGTTCTGTTTGCAGGAGTTGGGAGTGAAGGTACAAACAGCAGGACATCAGAGCAAAAAGGAAAGAATGGATGGAACGCATTTGCTCATTGGTAAGGACATGGAACTAGGGTAGAGTTGTTTTCTGGTGAATACTAGGATTGTGAATGTAATCTTGAATGATGCAAGAAGACAGAATAAGGTTTAATATAGAGGAAAAATGTGAGAGGAACGGTGGGTAAGGGAGACATACTGATTTATGATGTTTTGCTTGTGGGAAAGCTGGGCACATCTAACGCCACATGCTGGGCCGGCACGTCCATAAGGTGGCACAAGTGGCCGTCTTAGGGCGCCAAAAATCGGAATCCCCTGCCTCTAGCTGGGGACTCGGATTTTTCAACTTACCTGCCTCCCTGTAGCCAGCGGAGTCGGCTGGCTTCTCCTGATGATGTCAGGAGGAGGGTCGTGACTTCCACTGCTCTTCTTCCAGGACCGTTGGGGAGTCTGGGAGAAGAGCAGAGGACGTCACAACCCCTCCTCCAGACATCATCAGGAGAGGCTTGATTTCACTGATTCCAGACTCCAGATTCCAGATCCTGTCCCATCCCTGCCTGGCCCAAGGTAAGCCTCAGGGAGAGGGGGGGGAATACACTTTAGGTTTTTTTTATCCCCCTCCTCAGCCCCTGTCCCCCTTCCCCAGCCCCTGTCCCCCTTCCCCAGCCCCTGTCCCCTTCCCCAGCCCCTCTCCCCCTTCCCCAGCCCCTGTGCCCTTATTCAGCCCTAGTCCTCCTACTCAGCCCCTGCCCTTCTTCCTCAACCCCTGTCCCTCTTCCTCAATCTCTGTCCACTAAGCAGCCCTGTCCCCTTACTCAGCCCCTGTCCCTTTCCTCAGCAGCTGTCCCTTTCCTCAGCTCTGTCCCTTTCCTAAGCCCTGTCCCCTTACTAAGCCCCTGTCCCACTACTAAGCCCATGTCCCTCTTCCTCAGCCCCTGTCCCTCTTCTTAAGCCTCTGTCCCCCTCCTCAGCCCTTGTTCCCCTCCTCAGCCCTTGTTCCCCTCCTCAGCCACAGTCCATCTTCCCCTGCCCCCACTCCTCAGCCCCTGTCCCTCTTCCTCAGCCCCTGTCCCCTCTACTCAGGCCCTGTCCCCTCTACTCAGGCCCTGTCCGCCCATTCCTCAGCCCCCATTCTTATCTCCCTCAGCCCCTGCCCCCCCTTCCTCAGCCCCTGTCCCCTGTGCCTCAGCCACTGTCGCCTGTCCCTCAGCCACTGTCCCCCTTCCTCAGCCCCTGCCCCTCTCCTTAGCCCCTGTCCCTCCCCCTCTCAGCCCCGTCCCCCCTCTCAGCCCCCGCCCCCCCTCTCAGCCCCCATACTCTCAATACAGCCCCATAACATCCCCACTACGGCCCCTGTCCCCCAATTGCAACCCATACAACCCACAACACAGCCCCTTTCCCAAATTGTAGCCATCAACCTACTTCAGCCCCTATCCCCCCACTACATTTCCAAGCCCCCCAATTATAGCACGTACCCTCCACTACAGCCCCTGTCCCCCCACTACTGCCCTTAGCCCCCTACTACATCCCCTAAGTTTTCAATTACAGCCACTAAAACCCACTACCAGTGCCATTCCCCAGATTAGGCTATGGATTCGCACATGCTCTGTATGCCTGTATCAGTAGGACTATGAGCCTGTATATATATGTCTTTGTATGCCTGTGTCTGTATGTCTCTGTGTATGTGTGTGTGTGTCTGTATGACATTCTACCAGTATGGGTAGATTGTATGGCTGTGTACCTGTATTTGTTTGATTGGGTGCCTGCATATCTTTGTGACTGAGTGCCTGTATGGTTGTGTGTTGCTATATATCTAAGTCTAAGTCGCATGGAAAAAGAAACAAAATGTGCTGTGGGGAGAGAGCCACAGAAAGGGGCTGTGGGGAGAAAAAAGATTACAAGGGGGGAGACACACAAAGGGGCTAGGGAAAGTAAGATACACAAGGGGGGTTATAAGAGACACACAAGAGGGTGTAAGACATAGTAAAGGATAAAATACATGCACATTTTAGAGTGGCCTTTTATTGTGGCCATCCTAAGGCACACCTATGCAATAATCATGCTGTCTAATCAGCATCTTGATATGCCACACCTGTGAGGTGGATGGATTATCTCGTCAAAGAAGTGCTCACTAGCACTCATTTAGAAATATTTGTGAACAATATTTGAGAGAAATAGGCCTTTTGTGTACATAGAAAAAGCCTTAGATCTTTGAGTTCAGCTCATGAAAAATGGGAGCAAAAACAAAAGTGTTTCATTTATAATTTTATTTAGTGTATATACAAGTGTATTTGTTTCATAGATAGCTCCCTAAATTGGTATCCTTAAACATTGTAATCCCACATAAGGATAACAAATAAGGGAGTTATCTAAAAAAACAAATTTAAGAAAAGGCCTTATTCGACGTTTTATTACAGCGAATGTTGTGCTCATTCACAAAAAAGGTAGCATGTAAGAGTCGGGCAACTATAGGCCAGTAAGCCTTACTTCAGTAGTGGGGAAAGTGATGGAAACTTGCTAAAGGATAGGATTGTTGAACTTCTAAAATCACATGGATTTCAAGATCAGAGACAACATGGGTTTACTTCAGGGAGATCATGCCAAACTAATCTTATTGATTTTTTTTATTGGGTAACTAAAGTATTTGATCAGGGTGGTGCAGCAGACATTGCTTACTTAGATTTCAGTAAGGATTTTGACACTGTTGCACATAGAAAGCTTATCAATAAACTGCAATCTTTAAGTTTGGATTCCAATATTGTTGAATAGGTAAGGCAGTGGCTGAGTGACAGGCAACAGAGGGTTGTAGTCAATGGAGTATATTCGAAACATGGTCTTGTCACCAGTGGGGTACCTCAGGGATCTGTACTTGGACCCATTCTCATATTTTTTATGGTGATATTGAAGAAGGTCTTGATTGTAAGGTATGTCTTTTTGCTGATGATACCAAGATATGTAACAGGGTTGATATTCCAGGAGAGATGAGCCAAATGGCAAATGATTTAGGTAAACTAGAAAAATGGTCACAGTTGTGGCAGCTGACATTTAATGTGGATAAGTGCAAGATACTGCATCTTGGACGTAAACACCCAAGGGCAGAGTAGAGAATATTTGATAGAGTCCTAACCTCAACATCTGAGGTCATCTTAATGATGATATTGCAGGAATTATAAAATCCAATAAGGGGCCCCGAACACAGATGAACTTGATCTATTAAAAGATAGCCTGAATTGAACACCATTGGCTAATTACAAACCATATTGGAGTGAAGAGGAAGGATCATAAGACTACTTAAGATGAAGCATTCCTGAGACTTGGTTTACAGCTGACTGAAGAAGCTCAGGAGGAGTGAAACACATTTTGGCTGGCAAGGACTTTTTACACAAGTGTGGACAGTAATTTATATTATTTTGATTTTGTTTTACACTGTTTTTATTACTTTGTTTGTCATTAAATTTATACTGAGAGCCTTCTGCAGACTCAGGAACCTTCATTAGGGAAAGTGCCATCCCATGTATATTGGCACTATACCTACATACCTTAGAGCCGGGACTTAGGTTTAAAATAAGGTGATCTCAATACCTATCAATTATTTTATCCATTTTATATCAGTGATACTTCACATTGCCGGCCCAGTACAGGCCAACTCCTTGGTTTTGCACCTCTCCCTGTCACAGGTGCCTCATTCTAGGATCCTATTTAGCCTTGACCTGCATAGAGTCCCAGGAGGAAGTAGTTCCCAAGTAAGTAGATTGATCTTATAAGGGCAGGCATTAGGCTGCTAGAGTAAGACCTGCCAAGAATGGGGTTCATTGACATTGTGGCAGGCTTATGCAATGTATAATCATATATTGTAACTAAACCCCCCATTATTTTTTGCCTAGCTGAGGTGCTTTTAAATAAAACTATTACAATCTGTGAGATTTAAAATCATTGTTTAGTGAATAAGCGAGTGCGCGCTGGATTGTGTATTTTATATGTTGGATTGAAGGAGTGGTGGGATGCTGCCCTAACAGCATACCAGCGATCTATACAGAGCCAATATTTATAGGCTCCATCAAACGTGAGTGATCTGATCAAACAGAGTCATATTATGTGTTGTATATTACCATCTGCACTATATTTTTACTTTTTTTGTCTTTTATGTACTGCCTATAACCTCCCTATCTATCTATATATACACATAGGGTAAGTCAACCCATATCCTTTTATTGACTTTAGCACTCCACTTAGGTATAAGTATATCTTATACCACTAGTAGGTTATTGTTTGTTTGTTGTGTGGGTAAGTGTGTAGAGCTGCTATTTTATTTCACATAAAGCACTTTTTGAAAGAATACACCCCCTTCTTGAATAAGAGGGTATTCCATTTTTTGGTTTTAACACTTGGCAACCAGCTGGCCAAAACACGGACATGGTAGCTAGGGCAGGCGACAGTTGTCACTTATCTGGTTTCAGATGATACTTCACAACGTGTGACTATTAATGGTCACAGGCTTTTCCATTGCAAAAGTTAATCAGGAGCTTCATGCTACTCACAACTCAACTTTGTCTCAGTTTAACCTTCCATTTTGTAGCTAGCTTTTATGGAACAGATTGCAGAATTTGTTTGCTAGCTATTACTAAAACTGTACTGGATGCCCTTATCTACAGTTATATGAAGTGTTACTTAAAGGTCTCTTTTTACGATAACAGTTTTTTTTGTTTTTGTTTTTACTTTTTTTTAACACACTACTCTTAGGTTTGCCACCTGACTGGTATTTTAAGGCACAGCTGGTATTTGTGGCTGCCTGGCCGTGATGGCAATACAAATGCAAACATTTTTCTCAGTATTAACGGAGATTACTCTGCAATACCAGCACTGGCCAGTAGGGGTCACTGTGTATGGAGAGAGACAGAGAGAGGAAGTTACAGCATATCCCTCCCTGCCTCTCTCTACTCACTGGTCCGCGGGGGAGCAGCTACACAGCACAGAGAGTTCAGACAGCAGCTCTCAGCCTGCAGAGACAGACTACAGCTCAGGGAATTGAGGGATGAGGGGAAAGGCAGCAGGGAGACATGGGGACACTGAGACACTAGGGGACACATGGTGACACTGAGACACTGGGAGACGTGGGGATACTGAGACACATGGGGACGCTGTGAGACATAGGTAGACACATTGGGACACGGAGACACTAGGGACACAGTGTCTCCATGTCTCCCAGTGTCCCCATGCCTCCCAGCCAATGTCCCTAGTGTCTCAGTGTCCCCATGCCTCCCAGCCAGTGTCCCTAGTGTCCCAGTGTCTCCATGGCTCCCAGTGTCCCCATGCCTCCCAGCCAGTGTCCCTAGTGTCTCAGTCCCCATATCTGTGTCCCCATGTCTCCCAGTGTATGCATCCCCATGTCTCAGTGTCCCTAGTGTCTGTGATCCCATTTCTCTCAGTGTCCCGAAATGTCTGTGTCCCCATGTCTGTATCCACAAGTACCCCCATGTCTCCCAGTGTCCCCAAGTGTCTCAGTGCCCCCATGTCTCCCAGTGTCCCCAAGTGTCTCAGTGTTCCCGTCTCTCAGTGTCCCCTAGTATCCTAGTGACACGGGACACACTGAGACATGGGGACACTGGGAGAAATGGGCACACAGACACTGGGAGACTAGGGGACTGGGCGACATGGGGACACTGACACTGATGCATAGGCACACTGATGCCAGGCTGGCCTTCCTATTCTTTGGACAGACATACCCCCTTTTTGGGCATGTTCGCCTTTTTGGCAGTTCTGGTCATGTGATTCGCATCAGTGGCCTACTCTTTTACCCTGCCAATTGGCTTCCTGCTTTACTGGACACTGCTGTTGGTATGGATTTACTTGAAAGATGAAAGCATAAATTAGAAAAGAGATTAGCATAGAGTATGTGTTTTCTTATAGCCGCATCCTTTGAGTTTTCCTCCAACACCAACTCCATCAGATACATGACGCTTGAGATGTATGACTGTTTAAGTGTTTTTGGTCGATAAGATTCTGTAATTAGGCCCCTCATAATTGTCAGCACCAGGCCCACTGGGCTCTTATTCTGGCCCTGACCACAACCATTCACAGACCATTGCTTTAGAATAGGGGAAACCTTAGCAGTCTCTAGTAACCATGCTGCTGTCCACAACTTTTAAAGAGACTGAGCAGGTGGAATTCAGTAACTTTTATGAGACAGGTACAGCAACCAGTCAGGCAATGAAACAGACTGCTAAACATGGGTGGGTAAGTGAATTATTTGATCCCGTATCAGGCTGGGAAAGTTCTTTTTGCCATATTTGGCACACTACAACCAACTTGCATCTACAGGTACTGTTTAAACTTTGTTACTTCACCATGGCCCTGGTTAAGTAACTTTGTTACTGCTCTATCATAGCCTCATGGCCCACCAACAGTCCAGAATTTATGTATTTCCCTGTTTTATTCCAATGGAGATACTAACAAAACCTGGACTGTTGGTGGGTCTTGAGGACTGGTTTGGGAAACGCTGGTCTAGAGTGTGTAAAGGGAACTTAATAGGGGGTAACCCTAGAAATAGAATACATAACACACAAAGAAATGACCAATGGACATAAAATCCAGAGGACAAAGTAAAGACCCTATATGAATACAGTGCAATTAAAACTAAAGTTATTTATGTTTATAAAGGAACAGTAATTGAACCAAAAAGACAAAAAACAAAAAAACAAACACTAAAAAAAGGAAACAAAATAAAGGGGCGCTCATAAGCTTTAAGTAAGAAATGGGGTGGAAGGGGTTAAGGAGCAATGGAGGCTGCTTGTTAAAGGAATGATAAGATAGAGACAATTATGAATCCTAATCGTATATAGATTACAAGGTAGTAGTGGTGAGTAAAAAATATACTCAGAGAGTTTGAACAATATAATACCTATTGGATAGAACAACAAGGAAATATATACAAAGTAGCAATTAAATCATATAACCTAAGGATAGCAGAGGGATAAGGTCTCTGAAAAACATTATATAGCTAAGCCTTCATTGAACTTGCTAAACACTAAATCGACTTCATGGTCACTGTCTGAAAAAATATTGTAATGAAGGCAAAAAGCTAGGTTGATTGTAAAACAGAGACAAGTATAAAGTAAATCTGTCTGTTATCAGGTAGTTGTGGTGAGTAGAAAAACATACTCACAGAGAGGTTGAACCCAAGAGCTTAGTTGCTAAGCAGTATACTACCTATGAAATGATTCCTCAAGGGAATACATACAATGTTGCAAAAAATTCTATAACCACAAAATTGCAATAGGATACCAAAGAGAGCTTGTTGAGCCTTCATTAACCCCTTAAGGACACATGACATGTGTGACATATCATGATTCCCCTTTATTCCAGAAGTTTGGTCCTTAAGGGGTTAAACTTGCTAATTGTTTAGTCGACTTCAAGGTCGCTGTCTGAAAAAATGATGCAAAGAGGGCTAAACGTAAAAGGAAGCAACAATTGCTTTAAACAAAAGGCAAACCTTCCATGCTAACTAAACAACTGCCCTAATCATAAACCCAATTTAGGAGAATTACCCCTCTAGAAATTTCTACCAAAACTTTCACCAGCTAACCATAGTGGTAACAAAAATCATGCTGTGAATAGAGGAAGCCTGACGCGCATTTCGGCTCTGCTAAAGCACCTTCATCTGAGGCATTAAGATGTTCAACCTGCTGTGATGCTTTTTAAATGAGATCAAAATGAGGTTTGTACCTGTATTAGCCAATGAGGGCTAGGGGTGTGCATGACCCTACCTGCCATTAATCATGTCCATTTGCAGGCTAAGCATAATTGCATCACATGCTACTCTCATTTCATTCACGCATACTTCATGCAAATATCCACCCATGTCGAGGGGTAGGCTTCAGTTAGTCTTATTCTGGCTGATGAATTAACCCTTGAGTCGGGTGTGCATGAGAAGTTCAGTTTCATATTGCCTGTCTGTCTCATGGTGCTGGAATGAACCATCGCTTGGGACCGGCATAGCGAGGTATAAACACAGTGGGTGGGTGAAAGGCTTATAGGACATGGCCAATATGATTCCTGTCATTTTTATGAATGACGGAAAAAATACATAAATAAACAGATTACATTCTTGTTGTGTCTATATAATAGTTGGTTATTGTAAGAACAAGATATTTGGTTTAACCCTTTGTTATAAGCAACAAAATTCAGCATGAAAGCAGGGAACAATAAATGTTATGTATCTATAATAAACCCCTCGTTAATCCATTGGATGTCAAGGTGTCAAACTTATGGATCCAAAAACACTCTCTTTTTTTTATGAGCTAGGTCCAAGTCCCTTTTGCCCATATAGATATTTTCAATTCCTGCAAATTTCATCCCTTTGGGGGAATCTTTGTGGTGCAGTCTGACATGTCTAGCAACAGTGTTGTCCTTAAAGGTAGTTACTGAGTGGACATGTTCCATAATCCTTCTTTTGAAGGGACGTATGGTTTTGCCCACGTATTGAAGGCCACACTCACATATCAGCAGGTACACCACACCAAAGGTGTTACAGTTGAAAAACTGTTTGATGGGGATATCCACAGTGCCGGATGAGTTGGTTAATACTTTAGATCCCTTGGCTATGTAGCGACACGTTACAAAGCGTCCTAGCGTCCACATTGATATGTTCCATTCACTGTAATACAGTTTCTGTTTGTACTGGGTGTTGACAGGTGACTTGGTACCAAGATTTCTTTTTGGTACCAGAGGTGCTTCCATAAAACAGCAGAGTAAAAATCTGCTATATTAGTCAGGTGATTTCCTGATTGGTGCAGATAGGCATTTTGCTTTGCCTGCACACCAGCCTCCCAATGCTCTCCCATGTGAAAATGGGAAAACATTGCATTGGCTGAGATCATCGATCTTGATGATCTTCAGCCAAAGAGGGGGACCATTAGTGAAAAGACCAGCGCTGGGAGGGAAAAAAGGTGGATTAATACTGGGTTTATATTTTGTTTTCCATACATTGTCGATAAGTTTGCAGTGACCGAATGATACAAATCAATATACAGGGAATGGGAAAGCAAATGGGAAAGCAAAAAACTAAAAACAAAAGTTAAACAGTAGATGACCGGTGACATATATTGGTCAGTTAGATAAAGTCTTGCATAGGTTATCTTGAGAGACAGTAGTGTTATAGACGGATAGCGCTCGTTTTCAAGGAGCGTGGTAACAGTCATCAAGTACAGAGAATTTAACAGTACAATATAACAATGTAATTACAACTTGAGATACATCCTAGGGTGGATGTGTGTAGATGAGGAAATTGCTACATATATGCAACTGTGGATTCATCAGTCGCTCGTAAGCTATTCCCGGTTGTTAGGTGGCATACGTTTTCCGGGTGGGTCAAAAAGCATTAGTGGCCAGTTCGATATGTTTGTCCATCTGGTTGTGCCCAATCTCATTTCGACATTAATTATCTATGTAGGTAAGTAGGTGTTGATGTCTTGGTGGTGTGTGGTCTAAGTGTATACGGGTGTGAATGAACGGTGTCTATCCACGCAGTGTGGAGGTTTAATCCATCTTTTGTCATTGGTAGTAGTGTTGTAATGTGCCTTCTGTAGAGTGCAGGAGGCCGGAATCGGTACTGGTGAATCTAGTGTCTGTTAAAGAGCAGTATCGGGCATGAAGTTGTCCTAGAGTGGAATAGGCACTGATGGGGGTAGCGGGGGGGCGGGGGAATAGAAAGTGGGAGGATAACAGAGAAAAAAATGGGGGGAGGGAAAGAAGAGTAGGGGGGGTTGTCCCTCGTCGCCGGTTCGGGGTCTCTAGGTAGGATTGGGAATTCAAATATCCAGGGGTCCCAAATTTTGTCGAGAAGTTTAGTGGTGCCGTAGATAAGGGCGTAAAGTTTGTCCATCTTCCTAGCCTCATCTACCTTGGCTTTTACTATTTCTAATATGGGTATTTCTGGTCTACCCATCTTTCCACGATTGCTCGTCTAGTGGCTAGAGCTATATACGCGATCAGTTTGTTTTGCGCTCTTAGGTTGTCTTTATGTGGCTTAGGGAGTAGCCACATCCATGGATCTAATATTATATTGGTGTGTAGTATTCTGACATATTCGACAGTGAACCCTCTGTGAGTGTGGTGATAATGAGGGAGTACATTATGTATATTGGTCCCTTTTGGAGTGGGTTTTGAATGCTAGATTTTTCAAGGAAGTTGTGGATGGTTACACCTGCCTCCCTTTTTTGTTAATAGGAACCTCCAAGAAGCTCCAGAGTTGGAGATAACGAAAGTGATCATATGTTGTGAGTGAGGTAATTGTGGGAGCTCTGAGAATGGAATAGGTTGTAGGTTGGAGAAAAAAAATTGATGAATTAAGTCATTGTCTTAAAAGTGTGGAAAGTGGTATTGGGCATTGGATATCTTGTGTCTTTTGGTAGCCAGATGTACAAGGAAGGGAAGTCTCTTACAAAGATAATGTGTTCTAGGTCTACCCACCTTTTGATCCCGTAGGGGACGTGTAAGTGTTGGATTTGTGTAATTTGCGCAGCATGAAAGTAATGATGTGTAAAGTGATGTAGTCCTAGTCCACCCGGCCTACTTGGGATGTAGAGAGTCACTCTCTTGATCCTGGCTTGCTTGTTGGCCCAGATGAACTTGTCCATATGCGTTTGCAAGGTTTTAAAGTCAGGCATAGATATGGGGATTGGTAGGGCTTGAAATAAGTACAAAAAGTGAGGAAGTAAATTCATTTTTGATTTATTCATTATTCATATTCTTGGGATCTACCGGTTTCAGAGGATCTGTTGTTCCAGGGTCTTCTTCGACATCCAGAAACACACGGGCCTGGCTCTTGTGAGGCAATTCCTAATCTCTAAAGGTATTCCGGAACAAGTTGTATCTACTCTGTTATGTTCTAGGAAAAATTCTACTTCTTACACTTATCACAAGATATGGCAAACATTTGCGGACTCGCTGAAGAAAGAAGTACATTCCTTGGGAGAGGTTTCAGTTATGCAAGTCTTGAGATTTTTGCAATCCGGACTGGATAAAGGCCTCAGCCTCAAACCGCTTAAGGTGCATTGTTCAGCATTATCAGCCATATCAGGAATACGATGGGCTGAAGATCCGATGGTGATTCATTTTTTTTAAGGCAGTAATCAGACTCAGGCCTACGATCCGTACCTTTACAGCTCCTTGGGATCTTCCTTTGGTTTTGCACGCTCTTACTGGCTCTCCTTTTAAACCAATAGAAGTTTCTGTCACCATGCTTTCTCAAAAGACGTTGCTTCTGCTTGCTTTAGTTTCAGCCAGGAGAATTGTGGATATTAAAGCAGTCTCTTTTGAAGAGCCTTGTGTATGCTTCCTTCATGACGTGTAATCCTCCGTCCGAGGCCTGAATTCTTATGCAAGGTCACGTCCTTTCATTTTAACCAGGAAATACTCCTACCAGATTACTTTCCTGAACCTTCCTCTCCTAAAGAAGAAAGGTGTAATTTACTGGATCTTAAGTGTTGCTTGCCATCTTACATTCAACATACTGCTGATTGGAGGAAATTCAAGCAATTGTTCATCATTCCTTAGGTTTCACACAAAGGAGAAGCCGCTACAGGCTGGATGTTGCCTCTGTGGCTGATTCTCAATTTGGTCTCTCTGTTTTGAATTCAGCTCATGTTTAATACATATTTGGCATGATTACCCTCCCTGTAGTTTTTACTGCTTGGGTATTCCCATTAGTTAAATGCTGCTGTGATTAGCCAGGAAAAGAGAAAATGTATCCGTACTTACAATCATTTTCTTTTCCTGGTCATTATTCAAGGCAGCATTTAATTTTCCCTCCCACTTTGGGGACATGCTTGTTACTTGACTGAGGAACTTGGGCTGACTAGGATCCTTATATACCTGACCACTGAATTGTTAAAAAAAAAAAAAAATTCCTGTCCTATTGGCTAGAGGGAGGAGCTAACCCATTAGTTAAATGCTACCATGAATAATGGCCAGGAAAAGAAAATTACAGTAAGTATGGATACATTTTCTCTATTGGCTGTATCCGGAGACCATCGCATAATCCTGTAGCACATTAAGCATCGGGGTATGGAAGTAAGGGTCAGCAATAGGTCAAAATTCTTTGTTTCAGATCATGATGCCCTTGATCTTGTCGTTGTTCTGAAGGGATTGTAGCAGTGGTTTGAGGGAAAGAGCAAAGAGGATGGGGGAGAGAGGGCAGCCTTGGCACGTGCCATTGTATATTTGAAATGAGGGGGGATAGGTAAGAGGGAGGAGCAGGTTTGCAGTGGGTAAAGAATATATCGTATGAAGAGCATTCAGAAAAGGATGTGGGGGTTGTGAAAAGGAATGGCCACAGTAGCCAGTCGAATGCCTTCTCGGCATCGAGCGACAGGATGAGAGTTGGGATTTGCCTGTAATTTACAAACCATATGAGATCAAATGTTCATCTGATGTTGGTCTGGGTGAATCAGTTTAGGAAGAAAGGGGTTTAATCTGTTGGCCAGGATTTTGGTGAACAGTTTGATGTCCACATTGAGTAATGAAATCGGTCTATAGTGTCCAAACAGTTTTGTTAGTTTTTAAAGTTTAATGCAAAACGTTGAAAGTGATCCCTGGCCGAAGAACGCCACAGGAACACAGTAAGAGTTCTCTGGGTATTGTGATTACAATAAAAATAAAAAATCTCTTTATTATAGGGTAAAAGTTCCCCAAAAAAAGTAAATAAAACTTAATGAAAAACTAACACACACTAGAGAGAATAGATGGAAAGAGGAGAATGAGATGAGAATAAAGTGATACTAAAAAGTATCATAACAAGCAAATCTTAGTATAAAGTCTCTCTCTTAAAGATATATCTAGCAGTCTGGGTAGAAACTATCCTGTATAACAGGGTATAGCAGTCTCCAAATGTTCGCCTAAAATGGTAAATATGGATACAAAGTATCCTCTAAATGAACGGCAGCTGGTAAGCATCAAAAAAAAAAAGAAAAAAAAAAAAAAGAAACTGAACTATCTGTTCACCAGGATGTCGGACTAAATACACTGTTGTAGCCTGTGCTCTCCCTAGAGACTCCACATTGTTATACGCTGGAGCTATCCTTGTCCGTCTGTCGAAACTACCCACTACTCTAAATAAATATCTCAAATATCTCCATCCATACTCTCTACCTCCTAAAGTGCATAAATAAAAGTGCTGTGATTAAATAAGGCATAAGTCCTGACGCACGTTTCGGCGCTACCCGAGCGCCTTTGTCAAAGGTAAACGAGGTACTGGCTGGGTGTTTGCTTATATACCTATTCGGGTATGTGGCTTAGACCAATCATCGCTGTCCCCGTGATTCCCGCCAAAATTAACGGATCTCATGTATCCGTCCTGATTATACTAAACACGCCCAGTGGGCGTTTCTTTGGGCGGGATCTTTCTTATGTGAATGGAAAGCCACCCCTCCATGATTTTTACTCGGGGATATCGGAGAATGGTCCCGACACACAAGTGCTTAAAGCCATACATAGGGGAAGCCCAAATCACACAATATACCTTAGGATCTATTGTGTGACTTATCCAAAAATATGGGCAATATTTAATAAGCATTGTCTAAGTTTGATCAGAATTTTATCATATGATGTTTACAATCATACATTTACAGTACTTCAACAGAATATGTTTAATAAAATCTAAATAATAAATGACTCTATAAAATCAAAAGAGCACATAAAGTAATTAGAGTACTAGGTATCACATGATCTATCATGATCCTACTATCCTTATATCTCCAAACGATGATGTAAACCCCTATTTCTAAATATTAAAGGTATATACCTATAGAATTATCCAGCTGTACCTAACCTCCTATTCACACCTCTATATATAAAAAGCTTATATTCAATATCATATAAGAAACCACAAAAGAACCCACATATATACATATTTACATAGATCATATAAGAAGAACATAATTACAGAGTATAAATTCCTATGAAGGGTCAATAAATGGAGTAAATGTGAACCCCTCATTTAGTCCCTTGGGGGATAAGGTATCAAACTTGTGGATCCAGAAACATTCCCTTCTTAACAACATCTGATCCAAGTCACCTCCTCTTCTTCCCATATTGATTTTTTCAATACCTGCAAATTTTATGCATTTGGGTGTATCCATATGGTTGAGTCTCACATGCCTAGCAACAGGGGTGTCTCTCTTTGAGGTCACCGAATGTATATGCTCCATTATACGTCTCTTAAACGGGCGTATAGTCTTGCCCACGTATTTCATGCCGCACTTACACGTTAGTAAGTAGATCATACCTGAGGTGTTACAATTAAAGAAATCTTTAATGGGCATTATTATGGTGTTCGTGGAGTCAGTAAGAGTTTTAGAACCTTTGGCAATATAAGTGCATGCCACACATTTACCACACTGATATGTGCCATGCACTGTAATCCAACTATTTTTTATTATTTTGCCTGATGTTGAAAGGTGACTGGGCACTAATATTTCCCTGATGTTTTTGCCCCTTCTGGCCGTAATGGATACTTTAGATGAGACCATATCGCAAAGATGTGAGTCTTGAGTTAGGGGTGGCCAAAAGCGCCCTATGATCTTTTTTGCATCTTCCCAACCTGCATCAAAATTAGCTATGCATCTAATCTGTTTAGACTGTTGTTTTATAGTATTCTGTAACAGGGTCTCGCGGTCGCATTTCAGAGCTCTTTGGTACGCTTGCTTAAGGCATCTACCAGGATAGCCTCTTTCTTTGAATCTCTGCCTTAATTCTAAGGCCTTACAGTGAAAATCCTCAAGGGAAGAACAGTTTCTTCTCAGTCTTAGATACTGACCTACTGGAATGTCTCTTTTCAGGGGGATAGGATGATGGCTCTCCCACCTAAGCATGTTATTTGTTGATGTGGGTTTGCGGTAGAGGGTAGTTTTCACCTCCTGACTCTCTGTTAGTGTCAATGTACAATCCAGGAAGTTGTGTTTGATCACCCAGCTCCATGGTGAATTTGAGATTGAAGTTGTTCATGTTCAATTTATCTACAAACTCCACAAAAGAGTCCTTAGTTCCAGTCCAAATCACTAAAATATCGTCTATATACCTTTTCCATAAGTAAATATGGTCGGTATATTCTTTATGTACATCTGAGAAGACAATCTTATTTTCCCACCATCCCAGGTGCAGGTTAGCATATGCTGGAGCACAAGATGTTCCCATAGCTGTTCCCTGCACCTGGTGGTAGTACTTATCTTGGAAGAGAAAGAAATTGTGGGTCAATATGAATCGTAAAAGATCTAGTACAAATTTAGTATGGACCATATGTTCCAAACCCCTTTTCATTAGGAAATATTCAACGTGGTCAATACCACTTGAGTGTGGTATGGAGGAGTATAATGCCTCCACATCTAAACTACAAAGTACTGCCCCTTCGGGTGCTTTTAATGATGCTAGACACTTCAAAGTGTCCTTGGTGTCTTTTAGGTAAGATGGTAATTCTTCCACAAAGGGACGTAAGATTTTGTCCACGTATATACTTCCTTTACTCGTAAGATTGTTGGACCCTGATACTATTGGTCTTGCTGTAAGTATCTCATATTGCTTGTGTATTTTTGGAAGGCAATAAAACGTAGACACTGTTGGATTTTTAATGAAGATACTAGCATATTCCTCTTTAGTTAGTATACCCTGATCAAAGGCTTGATCTAAAAGGGTCTTGTATTCCCTTTGAAATCTAAGTGAAGGGTTTGACGTAAGTAATCTATATGTTTGATCATCATGGAGGATACGTTCAGCTGTTTGTATGTAATGCTGTCTATTCATTAATACAATGTTCCCCCCCTTGTCGGCGGGTTTAATGACGAGATCGTCATTATCTTTGAGATCACAAAGTGCCTTCCATTCTAACCTTGAGAGATTACCTCTAGATTTAACTGTTAATACATCTGTATTGATTTTTTTGATCATCTTTGTGGTAGAGTCCACAAACATGTCAATATTCTTGTAATCTCTAAGGTTAGGTGTAAATCTGCTTTTAGGGCGAAGATCGGTATAGGATACTGTAATATTGGTGTCATTATTCTCTAATAGAGAGACTAGTTCTTGCAGACATTGATATTCTCTTGGGTTAAAACCTAGTTCTTTGGCCCTTTTTTCATCTCTTATTTTGAAAAATTTGTGTAGGGCCAAACGTCTGCCAAATAAGTTTACATCTTTTATCCATTCAAAGTGGTTGAATGGGGGGATTGGTACGAATGATAAACCTCTCATCAGTACCTCCATCTGTGTTGATGTAAGAATAATGTCAGACAGGTTTATAACCCTCATATCATTTTTTAGTAGCGTCTGCGTGCTCTTCCCCTGTTCCTGGTCTGTCTGTGAGTTTGTACATCCCCCTCCCGGGGGTTCTGCCCTAAAAAAGTCACACCTTTCTTTAATATGCTCTTATTGGTTTGTGGATTCCAATTTACCGTGGGGGCCGGAGTTTGTTCACTATCCGTGTCTGATGTCTCATAATCAGAAGTGGCATAATGATCAGAATCTACTCTTGTAGTTTTTCTGAACCTTCTATAGACCCTACCTTTTCTGTAATCTTCATTGTCTCTCAGAAATTTTCCATGTTTACGACTCTTAATAGTGTTTTGATATTTATTAAGGTTCTGTTGAAGTCTCTGTTCTTGACCTGAGAAGGAGGGATCATCCCTGCAGCTCTGTATACCTTCTACTGCTGTCTTAACTTTATCATCGACCTTTTTCAGCCTATCTGACTCGAATCTAACTAGAATGTCCATGAATTTCTTTGAACAGACATCCGCCGCTTCTTCCCATTCTTTTAGGAGAACTGGATCATCCATCTCAATATTGGGGATGGTCTGGATCCTTAGTCCTCTTGGTATCATTGATTTACCAAGATATTTTTGTAAAGACATCACTTCCCAACCCAATCTAATTTGTTGTTTACATAAGTTTGATAGAATTCTAAATTTATGATTTATATTATCTTGCTCTGGTAGGTAAGTCATGTCTTTATCTGAAAAGACTGACTCCACATCCGTACACCACTGATTTGGGTCTGTCAATTGGGATAAAAAATTGGCCATGTTTGAAATCTATATCCACTCTGTAATAGGGTATATATGTAGACACACTTGAATGGTATTAAAACCTCTATGAATAGATAGATTAAACAAAAACAGAAAACATGGATAATCCACCAAAATGGAATCCACGGTGTGTCAAGAGAACTCCATAGGGGGTAACCCTTGGAGATAAATGCAAAATGTTGAAAGTGATCCCTGGCCGAAGAACGCCACAGGAACACAGTAAGAGTTCTCTGGGTATTGTGATTACAATAAAAATAAAAAATCTCTTTATTATAGGGTAAAAGTTCCCCAAAAAAAGTAAATAAAACTTAATGAAAAACTAACACACACTAGAGAGAATAGATGGAAAGAGGAGAATGAGATGAGAATAAAGTGATACTAAAAAGTATCATAACAAGCAAATCTTAGTATAAAGTCTCTCTCTTAAAGATATATCTAGCAGTCTGGGTAGAAACTATCCTGTATAACAGGGTATAGCAGTCTCCAAATGTTCGCCTAAAATGTTAAATATGGATACAAAGTATCCTCTAAATGAACGGCAGCTGGTAAGCATCAAAAGAAAAAAGAAAAAAAAAAAAGAAACTGAACTATCTGTTCACCAGGATGTCGGACTAAATACACTGTTGTAGCCTGGGCTCTCCCTAGAGACTCCACATTGTCATACGCTGGAGCTATCCTTGTCCGTCTGTCGAAACTACCCACTACTCTAAATAAATATCTCAAATATCTCCATCCATACTCTCTACCTCCTAAAGTGCATAAATAAAAGTGCTGTGATTAAAAATAAGGCATAAGTCCTGACGCACGTTTCGGCGCTACCCGAGCGCCTTTGTCAAAGGTAAACGAGGTACTGGCTGGGTGTTTGCTTATATACCTATTCGGGTATGTGGCTTAGACCAATCATTGCTGTCCCCGTGATTCCCGCCAAAATTAACGGATCTCACGTATCCGTCCTGATTATACTAAACACGCCCAGTAGGCGTTTCTTTGGGCGGGATCTTTCTTATGTGAATGGAAAGCCACCCCTCCATGATTTTTACTCGGGGATATCGGAGAATGGTCCCGACACACAAGTGCTTAAAGCCATACATAGGGGAAGCCCAAATCACACAATATACCTTAGGATCTATTGTGTGACTTATCCAAAAATATGGGCAATATTTAATAAGCATTGTCTAAGTTTGATCAGAATTTTATCATATGATGTTTACAATCATACATTTACAGTACTTCAACAGAATATGTTTAATAAAATCTAAATAATAAATGACTCTATAAAATCAAAAGAACACATGTGGAGTCTCTAGGGAGAGCACAGGCTACAACAGTGTATTTAGTCCGACATCCTGGTCAACAGATAGTTCAGTTTCTTTTTTCTTTTTTTTTTGATGCTTACCAGCTGCCGTTCATTTAGAGGATACTTTGTATCCATATTTAACATTTTAGGCGAACATTTGGAGACTGCTATACCCTGTTATACAGGATAGTTTCTACCCAGACTGCTAGATATATCTTTAAGAGAGAGACTTTATACTATCACTTTATTCTCATCTCATTCTCCTCTTTCCATCTATTCTCTCTAGTGTGTGTTAGTTTTTCATTAAGTTTTATTTACTTTTTTGGGGAACTTTTACCCTATAATAAAGAGATTTTTTATTTTTATTGTAATCACAATACCCAGAGAACTCTTACTGTGTTCCTGTGGCGTTCTTCGGCCAGGGATCACTTTCAACGTTTTGCATTTATCTCCAAGGGTTACCCCCTATGGAGTTCTCTTGACACACCGTGGATTCCATTTTGGTGGATTATCCATGTTTTCTGTTTTTGTTTAGTTTTTAAAGTTGGTATAGTTTTGGCTACCTCTTCTGGGGTGGTGGGTGTTGCTATTAATAGTGGCATTGGGGGAGGGAGGGTAGCTAAATGGAGGCCAAGTATCTTTCGGTTTGGGTTGTAATTGTGTCCGGGTCCCGGCAGGCATGTGGGTTGTGGTCATAGAGCGAGGTGAAGTATCGTTGGATGATGTCCGCTATTTGTTTTGGTTGTTTGCACACCTTTCCGGTCGGAAAGTGGATTTTGTATGTTTGTGTGTTGTACTCTGTTTTAGCCTCTGGGCTAAAAGGGTGTCTGCTTTGTTGGATTTTTCATAAAAGAGTTGTTTAGACCACTGTAAGCCATCTTTAGCCATGAAGTCCTTAACAACCTTTTGGCAGCTAGCGATTTGGGTAATTAGTTCTGGGGCTGGGTTTTGTTTGAGTTTGATTTTGAGCGACCATAGCTGTTGGAGGGTGTGTTCTAATTTTTGCTTCTTGTGTGCAGTTGCTATGCCTATGATAGTGCCCCGCAGGACAGTTTTGTGTGCTGCCCAAAGGGTGCTCTGAGAGGATGCAGAGCCCTGATTTATAGTAAAGTACTCAGTGATTGCCTTTTGGATGGATTCTCTAGTTTGTGGGTTGTGTAGGAGTGTGGAGTTGAGGCACAACGACCAAGGTCTCACTGTATCAGGGATGTCTAACACAAGGGTAATATCTGCATGGTCTGACCATGTTTTGGAGCCCACAGAGGTGGAAGTGATCGACAGCATAAGAGAGGGGGAGACCAAGAAGAGGTCGATTCTATAATGGGATTGGTGGGGGTGGGAGAAAAATGTGTAGTCCTTCATAGCGGGGTGTTGAATTCTACAGGCATCTGGTAGTTGCATAGTTGCTCTGAATGAAGCGAATAGTTTGTCTGATTTGGCTGTTAGGGGCGTATTGCATCTCTGTATTCTGGATCAGTGCCTGTCGATAGTGTCGGTGATAGTGTTGCATTGTAATTCCCCCCCACACACACACACACATGACTATTAAGTGATGGATAGGGAAAAGTGATAGATGTGCTCAGAAGGACTGCCAGAATGTGCCACATGGGGTGGTAGGTGTGTATATGGATGTGAGCGCATATTTTTGGGGCCCTATGTGTCTCGTGATCGTGACGAACCTTCCCTGTGGGTCTGTAGGATTAGTACCTTGTTTAACTCTGAGAGTCGCCACAATTAGCATTCACCATGACATCTGCTCACCTGATCTATTTGTACAGCTCTTTGCACTCTCTCCTTTGCGGTATTGTATGCTTTCAGCAGCCAGCTGGGCAATAACTCCACAAACCAGCGATGGAATTGCGACAAATGGAGCTGCTCATCACTGAAGAAACAGAAATGAAAATGTTCTGCTTTTCACCAATGCTAATAAAGAGTTAACAGGGGTTCCAATATACAGTATCAAAAGGTCTACTTAAACATCTAAGATGTTTGATTCTTCAGGTTTTCAGCTTACTGTGACTAGCGTTCTTTACATGTGTAACAAGGTAATTTTCTATGACAGAGTCACCTGCTTTATTTGTCAGAATATAGTACGATCCATTCCTTATGTTGGTGATTCTTTACCTCGTGCTTTGGTGGATGTGAAGCTGATAGAGCTCTCGCAGGGTGAGGTATAGCTGATACAGGAGCTCAGACAGTGGAGGTTGAGACCCCTTCTCTATGGGTGGCAGCTGACTAAGTAAGTGCTCGGAAACCTGATGGATGACAAGACACATAATCACAGAAGGCACAGGAGACAAAAAAGGTGTAGAGAAGCTTAGCATGTTGAGTACCAGTTGGAGAGCAGTAAAAAGTATTTATAGAAAGCATTTGAATTGTTTTACATACCAGTTCCTGCAGCTCCAGGAATGCCAGACTGAATATATCCACCTTAATAGTGCTGGGACGGAAGTAACAAATTATTATACAATGTATGTACCATAAGCTACATAGAGCTTTACAGTTTAATTTCACCTTTGGAAGAAATAACTACAAAGGAATTTCTTCTTTAGGAACACTGCAAGTACTGCAAACTGTCTGGCATGGTTTGATTTCTTACCTGGGGTCCAAATGGAACCACTCCCTCCCTTCACTACTGCAGTGAGAGTGCTGGAAAGTCTGCTTGAGCTAAATCCAGTGGTGCATTTCAGCACATTGGGCTAGAATGATCAGTCAACAAGCTGGCACTCTACTGCTGGGCTTAGCTCAGAGGAGCCACTATAAGCTTCTTCTTAGGAGCTTCTGACTCTCCATCATCAGAGGTTAAGCCAGGAAGTAGCGTCCAATGGACCCAAAGTAATAAGAATCTTTAAAACTGTTTGACTGCTTACAATGGAGGCCCCAGGGAACTCCTGAGAACCACCACACTGTTGTGGTTATAGTGCTTGGAGTGTTGAGTTAAGGATTACTGGTTAGCTACCCTACTCCACAGTCCCACTATAACAAATGGATTTACAACCAGTCCATAGGATTCCCAAAGTATGTCTGCTTCCCTGAATGTTGGATAGCAAAGTTTAGCTTATATTGCTCTATCATGCTCTCTTATCACGTCTAAGTGTCACTTTTCATTCTTTTGAACATTTTTAATTTGACGAATGTCTTACTTCATGAAACACTTGTTAAAGGACTTGTGGCAGCTTTGCAGATCAGAGGTGATATCAGCCACAAGGTTCAGTAAGGACTTCAGATTGTCTTCATGACTCTGTAGAGAGAAGACTCAAATGTAACAACAGTGTGTATGGTAATGGGCAAGATAGAGAACAGATAGTGAGTGGGAATGACCAACATAAAAAGTAACAATTGGCAATAGAAGTGATAGCAAAGGTCTTTTTACCCACCTGGATCATTGGTTGCAGATGTTGACGTTTCATATGAAACCATTCATGGGTACCAACCTGCAGATGAGATATTAGAAACTAGAGTTGCCTGCCTTTAGTGCAATATTGTCTGATATTCTTTTAAATAATTTCTATCAAAATAATACCTATGCAATATAAGTCATCATTTGAACATTGCTCAAACGGATATCCAGTTAGGGGTCCTTAGGGTAAAGGGGTGTTTAGATTGAGGGACTTAGGGTTAGAGGTTATACCTATTGGTACTCCAGAAGCTATGGACTTTATCACCCATTATTAAAACTGTGTGCTCTTTCATTGCATTGTCATTATAGCATTATTACAATGACACGAGACATATCAAATAAAATAATTTCAATAAACATCTTTAAATTTAAACAACACTGATGAAAAACATAGTATATTTAGATAAAGATGCCTTTGTCTATGATCCCCAGCAGTAGTGTGCTTTGTCAGGACGTAAGGATTAGTTTATTAATAATGTGTGTCCTGGTCTTGTCTACTATTAGTAATGTAAGGTCAAATAAGGTATTTAGGAGGTTAGGATCCATGTTGGAATGTAAATTTAAATTCATGGCACATCATTCTTGGCAAGTAAGGGATTAAGGGGGGACCATTTTGTAGAAATTAGTATATTTGGTTTTATGGAGGGAAATTCCCATCCAATCAAAATGTAATGCTGCCTGTGATCTATTAAAACATAAGTAGTGCTTTTTCTCTAGCAAAGGCTCCCACTTGCCTTCCCTCAGTAAACTAAATATGGCCCAGAGGGGTGTAAGCTTAAAGGAACATTGCAAAATCTGGTTTGCAATGTTGCTTTTCTTTCTTTCCCATGCAAACATTTTGGGCATTCATTAGAATTTAGCGAACATGTCTTGATTTGGAGGGCCTGGTTTAACACTCTCTACGGAGAATTTTGCTGGTTATTTCCACAATGGAGGCTGCAGGCAGAAATGTCATTGTTTGCAAAGCAGAATCAATCACTGCACAAGGGTGAAGATCTGAGAGATCACTGGCCCAGGGCACCAGCCCCTTGGAGTAGCTGTGGTGCTAGCACAGAGAAAGGCTATAGACTGCATAACTCTGGACAATGCTACAGCCTCCCTTTCAAAGGATTTGTCATTTTACTTTTGGTTTAGTGCCTCAAGAACTTTCTTACATAAGTTTGCATTTGTTTTTAGCATAGTGGACTCTGAGGAAGTGTTCTCCTTGTTACCTTAATGGCCTCGGACACTTGTTCTTGTAGAGTCGGGGTCAAAGAGCACATCTCACGGAATGCTTTGGTCTTACACATTTGAATGAGTACCCTACAAGGATACAAAATGTTAAGTGGATTGAGAAAGATGACTGAAAAAAAAAATATATGAAAAATGAATATGGAAAATGAAAGAAGCTGATGAAAATTATGACAAGTAGATGTTATTTTCCTGAAAAGCTATGAGGGGGCCCTCCTTCACCCGACAGGGAGATCAAAATATCTCCCTGCTCGGCCCTGTGCCCCCTCACATGCTCGAGGGAACTTTGTGGTCTGCACGTCTACCGGATGTAGATCACATTGGTGCTCCCTCATGGTCCTGAGTAAGAGCAAGTGCTCTGAATCACTGACTGAGTGTCAGACCATGAGGGAGCTCTAAAAGTGATCTGCACCTGATATTGGTGCAGACTACAAGGCACCCAAAATTAACCACCGGGGATAATACCTCCTCCTCACAAAAAGTGAGCAGGTTGGGGGAAGAAAAGCTCCCCACACCCATACAGTTCTTAGTGTCCTACTCACACACAATACTCAGCCACTATACACACTCTCTTACACACACACACAACATTTAGCCACCATAAACGCACACAATGCTCACATAAACAGAGCCCAGGGCTCTTGGAGAAGGCCCAAATCTTACATATTGGACAACCTAAATCCAGCTCTGGTGAGAAGTAAGAAGAGAGGAAACAAAATACAGCAAAAATGAACTAAACAAGAGTGGCAAAAAATGACGGATGGTGAAGGTTTGAAAAGAAGAAAAACAATATGCTTAAAAGGAAGTTCAATTCTCAGAATAAACCATGAAAATCATATACTGATAAAGAGCTCTCTCTGTTTGACTCAAAGTTGATAATAGCCAGGTTCCAGGGCATAAGCTGTGTTTTTTCCCCTTTGATACCGATTTGTAGTAAGAATAGCTTTTCGGAGGTCTTGGTATATGCATCTTCATTGCGTTATTTTACATTTACATACAATTGTACAGTAAACCACAAGCTCACATCTGATCATTTTATAGAAGGAAGCCTGCCTCCTACAAACTCAAGGTTTCAAAGCAACCCGAACAGCATACATGGCATTAGCTTGGCGACCCAATGTCCAACTGCTATATAATTTACAAAATAAAGCAAATAGAATGCCTTGATTAGGCTTTTTCTATTGCACTGAGAAATGGCTGCATTTCTCTTACAATATTCAATTTAATGAGAACAGTTGAAAGAGGTCTAGTGAATATGACGTGTAATTTCTGACCATTGGGGGCTTACTAAAATTATTATTATGATATTTATAGAGCGCCGTCAAATTCCGCAGCGCTTTACAATGGGTGGACGAACAGACATGTAGTTGTAACCAGACAAGTTGGACACACAGGAACAGAGGGGTTGAGGGCCCTGGTCAATAAGCTTTCATGCTAAAGGGAGTGGGGTAAAATGACACAAAAAGGTAAGGATAGTATTAGACTAATGACAGTTGCAGAAGAGGAATCAGTCGGGAGCTATTAACAGTTTAAGTGATAAGCTTTTATGAAGAAGTGGGTTTTTAACGATTTTTTGAAGGAATGGAGACTGAGTGAGCATCTAACGGAGGAGGGAATAAAATAGAATAATCTATTGAACTTGGGTCCAATTCCAAGAGTTAGGCACATAGATCTACATTATACAGATACTAATAAAAAATTTGTCTTAAATGACTCAGATTGTGTATATTGACTAGTTTTAAATATAGAATCAATACTTATCTAATATCATGCATAAGAATAAGAGGTAAAACAAAGAACATGTGAAAGAAAAGGTTAAATCTAAAGTAAAAATAAGGTTTTTTTTGCCTAGTAGATATGAAGCTTGAAGACAAGATAATACAAATACATAATGTCAAAAAGACCAATACAGGTCACTTGGTTACTAACCTTAGCAGACCCTGCAAGCGTTCAAGGGACCGTGGTGCTGAAAGTGGGAACATAATGCGATACTTCTTCAGCAGCGATATACCATATTGCAATAGTGACTCAAAAGACTCTGACAGTTCAGCTTTCTGTATGGAAAACAGAGTTTTTATTGTGAGTGGTGCTGGGCAGGCACAGTAATACAGGAAGATATGGGGAAATAACAAAAGGTAAATTATTGCTATAGTTTGATAGTGAAACAGAAGAACTGACGGCATGATAAAATGCCTCCCAACTGCCCAATTCCAGCAGGACAGTAATGGTTTTGGTTTCTGTCCTGCCTTACTTCCCTGTCTCACTTTTGGGGACACCAGGGAACTTTCCCCAACAATCATAGCACAAGCACAACAAAAGGGCACTAGGAGAGCATTACAGAGAGCACTAAAACACGGCTCTCTGTATGACCTGCCCTCAGTGGGCCAGCTAAAATGATTGGCAGGCAGCTTGGTGTGTATTCACATTAGGCTGACCTGCCATTAAAGGGACACTATAGTCACCCAGACCACTTCAGCTCAATGAAGTGGTCTGGGTGCCAGGTCCCTCAGGTTTTAACCCTCCAGATGCAAACATAGAAGTTTACATATTGGGTTAAGCCAGCCTCTATGCCTCCATTGCACAGAGCGTCCATGGGAAAGCATTGATAAATGCGCATGCGCATTCAGCTACGCTGACGTCGGACTGGGGAGCTGACGTTGGCTGGGGAGGAGAGGTCACCAGCGCTGAAGGAGCCCGGCGCTGGATTAAGGTAAGCTGCTAAAGGGGTTTTAACCCCTTCAGCGCCACGAGAGGGGGACCCTGAGGGTGGGGGAACTTTGTTTTCCTGACACAATAGTAATCCTTTAACTCGGGCGGATCCATGGGTACACTCCTTTGGGGGCAGAGGTAGTGATGCAATCGCCTCTTCGCATGTGCCATGTGTAACTAGCCCCCAGCACAATAACTCTAAATGTACAGAGCTTAAACAGAAACACTGAACATTAACATTCCTACCACCATGGTCTTACATTTGAAATTCTTTGTGAATTTACTAAGCATCTATTTGTTTTTGTTAGGAGGCATTTTGCAAATATTCATTGCCCAAATTTGCAATTCAGACATTAAGTAACCCTTACAGTTTGAGATTGACTGCCTTATACAGACACAGTTATCTGTGTGTTACCTTGTGATTGTTACAGTTCTAATCTTTGCAAAGACAGCTATAGTTCAATCTGCACATTATCCCTATAATGCAGGGTTAAAGGACCACTATAGTGCCAGGAAAACATACTCGTTTTCCTGGCACTATAGTGCCCTGAGGGTGCCCCCACCCTCAGGGTCCCCCTCCCGCCCGGCTCTGGAAGGGGGAAAGGGGTTTAAACTTACCTTTTTTCAGCGCTGGGCGGAGAGCTCTCCTCCTCCTCTCCGCCTCCGTTACGCCCCGCCGGCTGAATGCGCACGCGCGGCAAGAGCTGCGCGCGCATTCAGCCGGTCTCATAGGAAAGCATTTACAATGCTTTCCTATGGACGCTGGCGTGCTCTCACTGTGATTTTCACAGTGAGAAGCACGCAAGCGTCTCTAGTGGCTGTCAATGAGACTGAAGTGGTCTGTCAATTAAGCTGAAGTGGTCTGGGTGCCTAGAGTGGTCCTTTAACCATTCCCAGCTGCTCGTATTCCATTTATCAGAATTAGAGACTTTCGATCACGGGTCACTACTTCCCGGTGAGAACAGAGCTAATTGCTAGTTACTTTTAGTGGTTATTGTGTCTATTTTTCTCTATTTTATTCAATAAACAACAAATTGTAGTGAATAAAACTGACTTCAGGACAAAAAAGTGTGTGTGTGTTAGAGTGTGTGTTTGTGTGTTAGAGTGTGTGTGTGTTACTGTCAATAATTATTGTAATAATGCTATAATGACAATGCAGTGAAAGAGCACACAGTTTTAATTAGGTGAGAATAATGGGCGATAAAGTCCATTGCTTCAGGAGTACCAATAGGTATAACCTCTAACCCTAAGTCCCTCAATCTAAACCCCTCTTTACCCTAAGTACCCCTAACTGTATGTCCATTTAAGCAATGTTCAAATGATGACATATTGTATATGTATTATTTTGATATAAATCATTTAAAAGATTATCAGACAATATTACACCAAATGCAGGCAACTTTATTTTCTAATATCTCATCTGCAGGTTGGAACCCATGAATGGTTTCATATGAAACGTCAACATCTGCAACCAATAATCCAGGTGGGTAAAAAGACCTGTGTGATCACTCTGGCTATTTATCCTTTGCTATCACTTCTATTGCTCATTGTTACTTTTTATGTTGGTCATTCCCACTCATGATCTGTTCTCTATCTTGCCCATTACCATACACACTGTTGTTACATTTGAGTCTTCTCTCTACAGAGTCATGAAGACAATCTGAAGTCCTTACTGAACCTTGTGGCTGATATCACCTCTGATTTGCAAAGCTGCCACAAGTCCTTTAACAAGTGTTTCATGAAGTAAGACATTCGTCAAATTAAAAATGTTCAAAAGAATGAAAAGTGACACTTGGACGTGATAAGAGAGCATGGTAGAGCAATATGAGCTAAACTTTGCTATCCAACATTCAGGGAAGCAGAAATACTTCGAGAATCCTATGGACGGGTTGTAAATCCATTTGTTATAGTGGGACTGTGGAGTAGAGTAGCTAACCAATTATCCTTAACACAACAGTCCAAGCACTATAACCACAGCAGTGTGGTGGTACCAGGAGTGAGTGTATGTCTGTGTGCATGTCTGTCAGTGTCTATATGTGAGTGTGTGTATGTCTTTGTGTGTCTGTATGTGTGTGTATGTCTTTATGTGTATGTCTGTGTGTGTATGTCTGTGTATGTCTGTCTGTATGTGAGTGTGTGTATGTCTGTCTGTATGTGTGTGTATGTGTGTCTGTATGTGTGTGTATATCTGTCTGTGTGTCTGTATATGAGTGTGTCTGTATGTCTGTCTGTGTGTCTGTTGGTATGTCTGTATGTATGTGTGTGTATGTCTGTCTGTCTGTGTTTCTGAATGTATGTGTGTCTGTGTGTATGTCTGTGTGTGCGTGTATGGCTGTCTGTGTCTGTATGTGTGTATGTGTGTGCATTTATATGTGTGTGTGTGTATGTATTTGTGTGTTTGTATGTGTGTGTGCCTGTATGCGTGTGTGTGTGTCTACATGTGTATCTGTTTGCATGTGTGGGGGGAGTGGGTTACGTATGGGAGTGGGACGATAGACATATGGGAGGAGGGTGGCACGGGCGGGGGGGGCCCCAGGGAAATTTTTGCACCGGGGCCCCATGGGTTCTAGTTATGCCTCTGCAATAAATACTGCAGTTTGATTCTATGAAATGATGGAGAAACCACGAACCACAAGAAAAAAAAAACAAAAGCTGTGTCATAACCTCTTACTGTCAGGACGGGCGAAATGATGCCACTGCAAACAGTACTTTCTCATTTAAGTTGCTGCTAAAAAGAGGAACAGGAAATGTTGATGATTTTCCATAATCTTTTTTTTAGAACGTTAGAACGTTTTTGTAGTGTTAATGCATCTTTTTAATTCTGCTTCTCGGGGGGCTCCAAATATATATGCACATATTATTTATTATTTTTTTTAAAACTTTTTTAATAAAACTTGTTTTTTTTCTGTTTTGATTTAAAGGGACACTATAGTCACCTGAACAACTTTAGCTTAATGAAGCAATTTTGGTGTATAGAACATGCCCCTGCAGCCTCACTGCTCAATCCTCTGCCATTTAGGAGTTAAATCCCTTTGTTTATGAACCCTAGTCACACCTACCTGCATGTGACTTGCACAGCCTTCCATAAACACTTCCTGTAAAGAGAGCCCTATATAGGCTTTCTTTATTGCAAGTTCTGTTTAATTAAGATTTTCTTATCCCCTGCTATGTTAATAGCTTGCTAGACCCTGCAAGAGCCTCCTGTATGTGATTAAAGTTCAATTTAGAGATTGAGATACAATTATTTATGGTAAATTACATCTGTTTGAAAGTGAAACCAGTTTTTTTTCATGCAGGCTCTGTGAATCATAGCCAGGGGAGGTGTGGCTAGGGCTGCATAAACAGAAACAAAGTGATTGAACTCCTAAATGACAGTGAATTGAGCAGTGAAATTCCAGGGGAATGATCTATACACTAAAACTGCTTTATTTAGCTAAAGTAATTTAGGTGACTATAGTGTTCCTTTAACCATACATGCCAGCTTTGCCTCCCATATTTACAAAAAACTTAATTAATAATTGTTTTTGTTAGCTTGGTAAGCTTTTTCCAGTTTCGATAAATTGACTTTAAATTTAAAATTCACTTTGAATTCATCTTCAACTCAAACTTTAGTAAATAACCATGTATAATTTCAGTATTGAAGAAGTTACTGTTTAAATGTCATGAGACAACAACAAAACAAGACGAAAGACAAATCATCAAAAACAAATTGGCTTTCAAAACAGTATACACAGTCTCTCACACACAGACACACAAACACACACACACACACATTACCTGCTCATCCTGCAGTCGGCCTTGTACCCACAGGTACTCAATACTTGTAATATGATGCAGCAGGCAACTGCTACTAAACTCCAAACTCTGGTACAGTTTGCTATAAGCCAGCCACTGCCTGAGGGAAGCACAGACAAAGCAAATGTATAGTCAAAGAGGAAATACACATTTGGTAATGGACAAGCGACTGAGTGAAACAGGATTGGAGTTGTAAGTGGCTATGGGACCAGACACTGTTGGATTGTGAAGCTCAAGAGACAGGTTGTTATGGATATATTGATATGTGTGTCATATTTGAATATACATGTCCCATCCATGTTTCTACTGCAATGCATACAATATTAATCTTCTCCTGACTCTGGTCTGAATGATGCTTAGCTTAGCCTCAAACCAAGCAGCCAAGATATGTTAGAGGGCACAGTAAGTAAGTCACTAAAGCTCACTGTAGAGGTTATGTTGCCTACAGTGTTTGGTTACCATTGCGGCTTTTAGCTTAAGTTCTTTCTGTATGAAGAGTGTGTCCTTATTTTCATTTTAGAAAAAGTGCAGGTTTCAATATAAATTGGCACATTTATAAATTACCCTTCCCTCCTCTGAATTATTACCGTCAATTTCATGCAACCTGAACAACATTAATTGGGTGGGAGTGGTGGGACAGGTTAGCCCTGCAATATCAGTTAATCTATGTCATGCATATCAGATGAAATTGACATTGATAATGCAGAAGTGTAAATTGTAGAAAGGGAGTTTTCATCTTACAATAAGCAAAAGGCATTTTTTAAAGAAGTACCACACTTCTTCACTATATCATGAGACACAATAATGGGACTGTCCATGTTCTGACAAGGTGTTCACATTTTTTGTGATGGACCACTCTTATTTTAGAAGTAGAGAAAGCAATCTGAAGTGAAAATGAAAGTAGGCTCAAAACCAAAAGTTTCTAACTCTCTATTACTCACGCAAGGCCTTGATGAAACTCAGATATGTCCTTTTGGGTAGCGTGCAGATATAAGATAGTAATGCCATGAGGGCTGATATCCCCATTCCACGTGCTTCCCGTAGCCTGCATGTCGAGGAAAAGTTAAATATAAATACATTTGTATATTACATGTATTTCAGACTGCGTTGGGAATGCAAAAATAACACGATAGTGACATCAAGAGTAAATATAATAAAATAACTCCTGTGATGGCTATATGTGAAATAACTACAATATGATACAGCAATATATTTAGATGTACCTAGGTAACATAAATGTACGACAAAATCCTGTCACCGTAAACAATACATTTACGCTGCACACAGATGTACACAAATAAACGGTGGAAATAATTATTCCTAAAAACCAGCGTGGGGAGCTATGTTCTGCCAGGACAAATAATACATGCTAGAAAGCCAATTTACCTGATGACGAGTGATCTCATAACGGACAAACTGTTGTAGCAGCTGACGGTGTACAATGTAGCTGGGGGTTTTGCTCAGCATGCCCAATCTCTGGAAACACAAAGGCACAGTGTTCAGTACAGTGATGTGATGGAGAAAGCTGTTTTAATGTTTAGAATGTGTTCGATTTTATTGTTAATACATATATGGGAAAAACATATTTGCTGACCAAGCACATTTTGACTAAGTTATTGTCTTGATACAAAGGGAAAGTTCCAGAACACGATGCTCTGATTAAATAAATGCCAGTTAAAAAATGAATTTGGATTCTCAAAAATGGGTGAAACTGCTTGTTTGTGTGTTTCGTTACAGAGTTCTAGAATACTGTAGACATACTCATACCTCCCAACTTCAGGAAATTTGAAAGAGGGATATGGGTGGGTGAGCCTACACAGGCGTGCCAGAAAATTTAAAGGGACACTATAGTCACCAGATTAACTACAGTTTATTGTATTTGTTCTGGTGAGTAGAATCATTCCCTTCAGGCTTTTTGCAGTAAACACTTGAATAGGGATGGCCACTCCTCATATGGCTACTAGAGGTGCTCCCCGGGGCAGTGCAGCACTGTCATTCAGTGTCTCCACCCTTTGTATGGAGACACTGAACTTTCCCAATAGAGATGCATTGATTCAATGCATCTCTATGAGGAGATGCTGACTGGCCAGGGCTGTTTTTGACTTGTGCTTGGTCTGCCCCTGATCTGCCTCCTTGACAGTCTCATCCATTGTGATTGGCTCAGAGAATCACTTCTGATGATGTCAGCCAAGCAGGCAGATCAGAGGAAGAGCAGCAGCTGCAAACTTTAATAAAAGTATTTTTTTACTATATTTAGGGGGCAGGGGAGACAGGGGGACGGAAGCCTGACATCTTCTTGTTAATTGGTTTGCTTTTAAAATATTTGTTAAACTAATATATTACTTAAGAGGCAAGTCTGGCTATACCAGTTTGCGAGGAAAAGAATGATTGTGTTTTCTCTCTGATCAGCCCGCTAAGACAGCAATGGCCAAAATGTGGACTTTTTTTAGAAGATGAGCAAAGCATTATGGGAATTGCATTTTTAAAATGTTTTACTCCAAAAATCACATGCTGAACACAACAACCAAACAAGGACAGAAAAACTTAGGTCTGCAATTATCTCTCACCTTCTTGTGTGTGAGAAGAAACTGCAGATGGCATTGTCCTCTTTCGGGGTATGTCTCTGTCCGAGGCTCCAGGTTGTACCAGCAATCCTCCTTACACTTCAGATCCTGAGCACAAAGACAATATTTAGATTATCCCAAAGCTACAGCTCAGGCTAATTTCCCACAGCCCTTTCTGTCTGCATGACGTAGAACAGGGCAGAACAAATTATACATCCCCAGATGTTCTAGAACAGGGCTGCCCAATAGGTAGATCCCCAGATGTTGTAGAATTACAACTCCCATGATATTTTATCATTCTAAAGGCATGCAATGAATCATGGGAGTTCTGTTCTACAACATATGGGGGTCTACCTATTAAGCATCCCTGTTCTAGAACTTCAACTGCCATGATGCTTTGACAACAATTAGAACTGGAAAGCATCATGGAAGTTGCAGTTTTACAAAATCTGGGGATCTGTTTGGCCAGTCCTAAATCTTTGCAAAGTCTTTTCATAAACTCACCCGCACGCGCAGGACTACATTTCCCAAAAAATCATCCTGCCCTTTGTCCTTTCGAGCATCTTTAATTATTCTGAAATAAAATTGAAAGGGTAGATAATAAAATAGAGAATGGAAGGTTTTACAATGCAACACAGGGGAATTACTTTGGGTGAGAAGCACAGCCAGAAGTCTTGTATGCACTCATACTCCACAGTGCCTAATGAAATATACAGATTTGGAGTGTGAATTCAGTTCTGCACAGGCCATATGGCAGTGACGGCAAACATGTTTCAGTACAAGTTCTCAATAATATTCAGATCTCAAAAAAATATAGTTAAAAGTGCCCAATACATAATTTAATTCACAATCCATTTATTTCAGACACCTATAGCAATTTTTTAATTGCCCACTATCCACAGGTAAGGCCTTTGTCTTGCCATTTGTTTCTACCCTTTTATATTCACTTCTTGCCTTGCTATATAAAGATCTCATTCTCTCTTTCTAACTCCCTCTGTTAGAAATGACTCTACTCTCTATTCAGATCCCAATTTCCATGGCCGTTGGAACTCCCCCAAAAATATGGGAGAATAGCCGCTTATACCATGTATATACTAAAAACACAACAGATTGTCACTAAAGGGGTGGAATAAAATCCAAATTATAGCGACTCGAATGCTGAATTTTCCAAATTTAAACTAAAACAGCTGTGCTCAGATAGCAGGAGAGATGTGGTCAGTATTAATGTTGCATCCCTCCTTGAGGCTGCTTCGTGTGTAGATAGCGAGAAGGAGCTCAGTCCACAAAGGAGCAGTGAGGAGCACCAAGCCAGATCAATGCTGACCTGCACATCTTACTCTGTCCTGCAGAGGGCACACCGCTTCACCATAGATTTAATAAGGTAATGCAGGGCTGCTGTTTTGAGAATTTTCTTCCCCGTATGGTTCCTTCCTCTCTGAGCTCCCATTTTCACCCTGTCCTACTAATTTTCTCTGTCACATTTATTCATGCCCATCTTTACTGCCATTTCCTAACATTATATCTCAGTATTCATTTCATCCCTCATTCAATTTTCTTACCATTAAGGACCAGGGCTGTTTTTACATTTCTGCGGTGTTTGTGTTTAGCTGTAATTTTCCTCTTACTCAATTACTGTACCCACACATATTATATGTCCTAGGACATCTCTAGGACTAGGGCTCCGCTACAATGGTTGGCAGCATCAGGATCCAGAATTCACAGAGGAACAAGAGCCAGTGGATTTAGCAGTATCAGATGGACCAACTCATGCTCTCTCTCCACCTCCCAGATAAAATCCACCTTCCCAAGTAGGAATTGATCTACCTGTCTTAATAGTCATAGTTTATATTGGCTACAAATTTTTTTTTTTAGTTTTTCTTTTCCAAAATATTGCCATTTTAAAAAGTTTTATTGTGCATATATGGACTATTTTTAGTGTACTAAGTGGTTGCTAATGGGTACGGACCCTGATGTCAGAATGTTAATGGACAACCACTGCTGTGTAACTCAGCCATCAGCCAACTTATACATCATAAATTGTGAGAAAATGTAAAAAATGCTAGACCACTCTAAATAAATTAACATTCTGGCAAGGCTTTACCTGATATTCAGACGAAGAGTCACAAGGTAAAGTAATTTGTAATAACGTTAAAATGGGACACAATATAATTAAAATATTTAAACTAGCATATAGATGTATTTTGATAAACAATTCCACTGTTAAAAACAAATGGGGGCCTTGACTGAGGCTGGTTGTGCATCAGGAGAGCTCCAAGCATGATCTGTATTTAAAGCAGTTTAACTAGCTCCTGGCATGCCAGACCGACCAATAGTGTGACTTACCTGACTCAGGAGCCAACCGAAGTGCCTTCCATTGAGTTATAAGTGACTGATTGGTAACTTTCGGTGGTCCCGATGGGGCCTAGTGAGATATTCAGGCGGGTGGGACGGCTGATCCCCCGCTCTGTGCTGCTGGGCCTGCTCAGGGACTTACAGCATACCCCTCCTCCCTGGACCGGTGGTGGTTATCCCGATCACCACTGGCTCACCTCTCACATCAGCATTTTCATATACGGCTGAACCCGCCAATACGCAGACCACAGCTTATGCTTCACGCAAGTTGGCGTCTCCACCACGGTGCAACTCTGGGAGAGCATGCAGGGACTTTCTGGCACAATCATTCAGGAGACTGGAGGAAATCTTTGATTGCTTCTTGGGCACCGTGGAGACATGCTTAGCTGAAGATTAGGGATGTGCATGGGCAAAAAATTAGGTTCAGTTTGGCACTTCCGAAATTGAGGACTTTGCCAATTTGGGACTTCTGCAATTCGTCACTTCGGTTCGGTTCTGCACTTCCGAAATTTGTGACTTCGGCAATTCGGAACTTCTGCAATTCGGGACTTCGGCAATTATGCACTTCCGAAATTTGTGACTTCGGCAATTTGGGAATTTGCGAATTCGAGACTTAGGAACTTTGGGAATTCGTGACTTTGGCAATTCCCTAACCCTACCACTAACCCACCCCTAACCCTACTCCTAACCCTAAACCGACCCCTACCCCTAACCCTAGCCATAACCGTAGCCCTGACCCTAGCCCTAACCCAACCCCATAAGGGGTAACACTAACCCTTACCCCTAACCATAGTAGGGGTTAGGGGTAAGGGTTAATGTTAGGGGTAGGGATAGGACTAGGGTTAGGGGTAGGGTTAGGGTTAGATTCCTGTCATCATTCCCTTAATTTTCCCTCCCTTTCCTGTGTTGCCACTTTTCAGAAATCGGTTCGACACTTCGGCAATTCGGTTTGACACTTACAAAATTCAGCACTTCAGCAATTCGGGACTTCGGCAATTTGGTTTGGTTCGGCACTTCGGAAATTCGGCACTTTGGAAATTCGACAATTCAGCTTTCGGACCAAAACGAATTGTACATGCCTACTGAAGATCCTCTGCTACATCAAGCAAATGGTCGGAGGGATGGGAGCCTGGAGACTAATGGGCCTCCTTCGGGCAAGCAACCCTTTCCAGCGCAGGATTCAACTACCCATAACCCACCTGGGCCAAAGGCTGTCCGGGGCAAGTGCCCTAAACATTGTCCACAAGGATGGAGCGCCACCTATCACACCAGCTGAGCCTTATGCTACCCCCTGTGGGGAAAGACTTGGTCTCATTGAGTTCCCAAGTCCGTGGAGTGAGGTTGTTGGACAGATTACAGGCCTGGGGCTGGAAGGATGCCCTGACCTGCTCCAGCATTGTTGCCCTCCTTTCATGACATTTGCTGTCCCATCTCATGCTTCCTACTGTTGCGAATAGGCTGATGTGGACTTACCTGGTCACACACCTTGCTTGCCGGAGACGATTGAGCTTGACTAAAGGCCTACTATCTGAGCTATGCTTATATTATATGTTGGCAATCGCCATTGTGTTTATGTTTTTTAAGTTCTTCAGCTTATTTTTACGACCTCTTTATTTACTTTATTCTTTTTACCTTAATATTGTAAAAGACAGCGGTGTAGTGCCATCTCTGGCCCCAGTGGTTTATTTACCTGCAATCTGACATAGCATGTTCTTAAGCATTACTAATTATCTAACTCTCACCATGTCTGATAGTGACTGTTGTAACACAGTAATTGCCATATTCTCAGACGTATTTCCTAGCCCGATCTTTCTAATATATCATAAAACTGTGCTGTACCATTGACATGCCACGCAACTTAACAATACTGGATCTATACTGTTTATGTATGACATGCAATTTATCTATTTGCTATCTACTATTGCACTTGTATATGCTGTTGTGGAAATGCAAGATTCTCTGTTTCTTTATGCACAGCAAAAATAAAGAATTATAAAAACAAACAAATGTCAGAGCCATATTTAAAGAAAATAAATAGTATAGGGTTGCATTCATGTTAATGCTGTCTAGCGGAATGCATCTTTCCCAACATGCAACATTAAATTGGATTATTGGGCATGATAAAGTATGAAATACCCATCTATTTTTGTTTGTTTGTTTGTTTATTTGTTTGTTTGTTTTGTTTATTTGATGCCACTGTTACCATAGGATTCTCACCTCTTTAGTGAGTGCAGATCTGTTATCTCTCCGAGTTTAGATCTGCCTGTTTCTAAATCATCTGAATCCCTTCAGAAAAAGAGAAATTAAAATTATAAAGACAAAACATAATTTCAGAAGGAAAAACCATAAAATTCTATACAATTTTTAAATAAAAATATATACATATATATTAGATATTATGAGGCCATGAGGACGTTGTAAAGGACCAAGTAAAATGGTGGGAAAAGGAGGAGAAGAACTTAACCCGAAAGAGATTTCATACTCTAACGACCCGATGTTTTAAAAGAATCTAATACTTTTAATTCATGTAAATATTCATTAGCCCAACACTCATGTCCAAGAGGAAATGGAGTAACACCTCCCCATAAACCTAAGCACAAAATGTACTACATAACAAGATCATGAATGTGCAATAGACTTACAAGAAATCTCTCATTCACTTAAAACAATGAAATTAAATATACCTGAAGACAGTGGAAGCTGTATCTGTTTCGATTCATGTGCAAGATTGGTCCTTGATCATTTTTCTCAAGTGAATAAAAAATTAGTCACACACACCTCTATGGCACATTGACAATAATTTTCCTTCACTTAAATGACAAATCAAATAAAATAAGCACATTTCATGTCATGTTGCATAATTCTCCCAAAAAAGTTCATCGGGAGAGCCAGGACTTGCTTAGAGATCTACACCAGTTCCTGATTATGATGTTGTAAGTATTGTGTTTATTTTTGGGTTTTATTTTTGCCTTTTGTCTTTTTAGCTATATGCATTAAAAATGGATGGTAAATCTACTTTGATTGTACTTTTACAATAATAAAATGACATGAGTATAAAAGAATAAGTAGGTATGAATAAAACATTTCAATAAGGTATGACTCACCACATGTCCATTTGAAATTTTGCATGTTCAATGCTGTCAATTTCCCTGAAACACAAATAAACAAATAGTAGACAACAAAGTCTGCACCTACTAAAAAATAATTTAAAAAAACACAATTCCCCCAATGAGAATGTTTAGACTACAGACATATATTCTAAGTAAGGTTCGATCAACATGTAGCAGAATTTATGGATGGTTGTACGTACAATATGAAAGTTTCGTTCCACACAGGGTTTAAGGTCTGGGGCTTAATTTGAGTCTTGTGAGTTCGATCTTCTGGAATTGTATTGCGCACCACGGCTTTCTGCTTTTGCTTCTTGTCACGACTTGGGCTGTTTTCCCTGGATTGTTGATCTGAGCGACTATCAATTCCCAGCATGCAATAAGGGTCACTGAAACCTGAGCAAACAATAGATGTTTCACTTCAAGTTGTTGAGGTTTTTTTTTTTTTTTTTTACGCTATTTTTTTCCTTTCATTAATAATTTATAATATCTCTTTCTGCTTTTATACTAAAATCTCTTTAATTCCCATACAGAATGTTTTTTTTTGTTTGTTTTTTTAAATCAGTTTTATTTTTCATAGAAGACAAAGGTTATAAGAGTCAGTACAGACAAAAACTGTGTCGCGGGCTCGCAGGCCCCTTTTGTACTTAAGGCATTAAGATCTGTTTCCAGTGAAGTATAATACACTATCCGCTGTTCCTGGCAAATTTGAGTCTCACATGTATATGTGTTGCTAACATTCAATGATTAATAGGTTAATGGACTTAGTATAGTTGAAGATATCTGTCTCCCCGCTCCCCCTGTCATTTACTTATAGGGTTTTGGTTTTCTCTCAATAGCCTCACGTCCTTCTAATGTGGTCCACCCTCTAATCCCACTGGGTCCTGTCGTCAAATTGGTGGTTCGTGGATGCGGGTTCTTGGTCAAATCGTGTGTGTCAGTCAGTTTAATAGCGGACCTCTTCCAGTCACATCCGGACCACTCGCCAGCGGCACCAGCGATCCTAGTCATAGGGGTGAGATTTGGGTCCAGTAGCCGTCGCCCTTCAATTAAGTTGTTGAGGTTTACCTAACTGTGGTTCTGGGTTAAGGAGCTTTATCAGCCTTGAGCTGAAATTAAGTGGGTCTTAATATAAAATTTGTGTTTCTGGTCTCAACTGATCTCCATATAGAATATGGCATTGCAGCAAAAAAACAAAAACATCCCCTTATATATTTATATACTGGAAATTTCAAGCACATAAAAAATAGCTGCACAAACAGTTATGTGATCAAAAGTCGCCTAACGACCGAGAAGTCCCTCTAGACTCCACCTCTAGACAGCCACTAGAGGTGGAGGTACCACACATAGATCTTAAAGTGAATTATTGCAAATGCATCTTGAAGGTAGGCACTCCACTTACCAAGTATCTCCTTAAACATACCCTTCCCTAAGTCCCTCCTAAACATAAATATGCTTTAACCTGTCAAATACAAACAGTGGTCCAGCAACATGCTAACGAGTATTAGTAACATTTTTTTCTTAAATTAGCTCAAATGAAACATGCAAAAATACATTTCTACTCACCACTGACATCCTTTCCCAGAATTCCCTTGGCTTCTTTTACAGTAACTTTAACACAGAAAATCGGTGGCTGTAACAGAAAGGAAACCCATAAATCAAGACACTCACTACCAGTTCAAACAATCTTTGCTTTAATTTCATATTTCCACTTACCATCCTGTTCGGAAACTAAAACTCTATGGTGCAGTTTATCTTTTTATCATCAAACTATATTTAACACATTTTCATCAGTTAACATATTCGAACCATCTGCTTGGAAACAGCTGCTTTCTTGTAAGTGGCAAGTTCCCTTTTTTTCACACCAGTAAATGATACTCAGGTATTTACTGGGGCAAGCGTTTTAAGTAAGGATAAAACACATTTATCTCTGAAGTAGATTTGGGTGGCAGTGCAATCTTATCAAGATGTGTGCATGCATGGTTTTCACACCAAAGCATGGGCATAACTTGCTTGCTACCCTATTCACTCCCAAATATCCCCACAGGACCAGGTGCATGGCATTATTGAAGATGTGGTGATTTACATCATATGCCAGCCTGTGCCTTGAAAGCTTCCTATATTGTGCAAATTGCATGTTATCCTTATTCAATCCTTGTTGTCTGATTTGCTCCCAAATATCCTTACAGGCTCATGTGCATGGCATCATTGAAGTTGTGATGATTTACATCTTATGCCAGCCTGTGCCATGACAGCGTTATATATGGTGTAATAAACAATAAACATTTGTTTTTTTCTTGTTTTATTTTTTTAAGCGAGAATTATGTCTAGTTATATAGCATCTGAAATCAACTAAATATTCTGATAATCCAAACAGGAATAGAAGTCGATTGTATTAAGTAGTCTATTTACAATAACCTAATACTTAGACTGTACAATAACCATAACATTTACAATCTTTTGGAAAAAAGAAACTGAAAAATAATATAGTAATATTTTGCTTCATGATTTTGACACTCTAAATGACGAAACAGTACATTTCAGCTTTAACCAGATACCAAAATTATACCACTGGTAAAGGACAATTGCAGAATGAGAGATAAAAAAAAGGCGATGATTTGGGGGGCGGAGCTAAGCTGCCATGCTGAGCGGTCGCACTGGAGATGAGCTCCGTGCAAAAGCTCTCTCAAAAGGCCAGAATCAGGGCACAAACTCACCAAATTGACAACTAGGCGACCTGGAAAAGGGAGCCCTAACACTGCAGAACCAAGCAACAAGCAGCCCGACCAAAATCAGAGGCTCCTAACCGGGGATCGACCTGAGGCCTACTAGAGGCCTACCCAGACAAAGCGAGAGACTACAACCACTTACCTGGAGGTCTCCCCGGCATATTTCCTCCCCCCCCCCCCGCTGGAGAGGGATATCCCGGCAACTAAAGCCTGGAACACAGCGAATCAACTGCTGAAGTGAGTGTCCTACACAGCACCAGCACTCATCAGGTCACTGGGAAGCAGCTAAGATGGCCACCCAGCGAAGGCCCCAAAAATGAAGCACACATGCTCAACCAACCTCGAATCCCCTGGGGGAATTGGACCGATTCTGCGCGAGCCCCTGGACAATGCTGAGAGACCGTGGAATGGCTTACCGTCTGGCGGTAAAACTAGTGGCCACATGGATCCGTCCAGTGACCCGGCGGCGCCATTATAGGTATCAACTACACGCAACCAGAACGGCAGCCAGACCATGCAAACACCGACGAGCCCGTGTGCGGAAAACGCCACCATGCTGCAGGAGTGACCACACTGGTCCCCACACTCACAAGAACGAGTCTACCAAACCAGCCTCCCACATAAGCTACTCACCGGCTGCGCGAACCGGCGTCCAGCAAAGCTCACCTCCATCCCTCCAAGTCACAGCTGCAAACCGGGTAGCCGCACGGCTGAACACCCCAATGAACACCACTGGAGCTGGGCCCCAGTTCAGGGATGCCTTCAAGGAGACCAACGCTGCCGACAAGAGACACGTCCATGCACTGGGCATCGGCTGAAGAGCCTACCTCTGTGCCTCTCAAGTGAACATGCCACACTTGCATCTGGAGGGCACGTTCACAGCCGGCAACAACCATTGACATATGGACTACCCACACCTTGTAAATATAACTATCACTGCATAGACTAAGCGTGGCCAATGCTGGCCAATCATATAGCCTAGCTACACGGAGATGCCGTAAAGTATTACATAGACTACCTCTCGTTATTTTTTGTTTAGTTCAGGACCAGATAGTCTAAGCTCTCACCTGCGATTTATAATCACCTTTGTGTCCACTTGTAGTTAAGGTACAGCAGATTAGCATGTTACCACATACCCAGCAGCCAAATAGTCTAACCGCAATAGCCTGAGCTATGAATTAGCATTTTGGTACAACATTTATTGCACTGTTCCAAGCGATGCCTCAGTATTGTTTTAATGATGTTTTATAGTTACACAAGCGAGAACTACACTGTTGAAATAATAATCCTAATAACCTAAAATATGTGCATGACTAACATATGTCACAACCTGTATTGCAAATGTTTTCCAACCTATCCTGCTATTGCGGCGCACCAGAGCTACTTGTTACTATTGTCCACAACAAAAATAAAGAATAATTTTTATTTTATTTTTTTAAAAGCAATGTTTTGAAACGGGAGCGCGAGAGGAGGCTGGGTAATATTTGAGGAAGTGCTATTTTACAGAAAGGGTACTGAATTAATGAAATAGTCTCACAACATAAGTGGTATGGCTCACCTGGTGGTTAGAAAAGGTGAGAATCAAACAGGATGACATTTTGTATCTTTGCAACGCAAATTATTTACAATCTTTTATACAATGTCTGTTTTTCATAGTTTATGTCCCCAATAAGTAGATTCCCTTTCTGTCCTTGTATGTGATCATGGCTGAATTTACAACTTAGATGCCTGTCGAATTCTCATGTGCAACTAGTACTCACCAAAACTCCAGTTCTCTGTTATTTTTCTGATTTGGAGGGTACGCAAGAAAGCTAGAAAGCACATCTCTCACTCCCTCCACAAATAAAAAAAATTTCATTACCATGTAGCAAAGTGAAAAAAACTTTATCCAAATAAATCTAAAAAGGAGATATTACAAATTTTCAGTCAAGATGTTCCTAATAGACAGGAGCTTGTCGGCAGCTGCCTACTTTGCCTGCTGACAAAGCTGGGCCCTGCATGTAACCCTTACCGCAAGGCCTTTGACATGTTCCAGAATGGCTTGATGTTCATCAGGCTCCATGTTGAAGGTCTGTGAAATACAAAGAAAACCTACAACTGATCAACCTGTAGATAAAGATGCCTAAAGTGATTGCATACAGCATTTGACAGTATACTTAGCATGTAGTATCACCCAGCAGGTAGAAGGATAAGCTCTAGGAATTATATGTCCCCCTCCTAAATGTTACACATATCTATAGGGGAAGAGGGGCAGGCCTACCACCAATCCCAATTTTGGCAGGACAGTCTGCTCTAGTGTCCTGCATACAAAGACACCACAAAATTGTAATTGGTGTAGCACAGCATGAGTGCATCATTAAACATGCGTGCTCTGTGAATGGCACCAGAACCCTCCAGAGAGCTTTAGTGGGTTGGCCCCGACCCTTTTTGGTGCCACCGTTTATGCCCCGCTCAAGCCCTATCCATTTGTCCCAATCTCATGCCTCCCATGGTTGAGAAGTATGGAGGAGTCATCATCAAGACTGTCATTAATCAAATACGCAAGACATTCCTATAAAAGTATGGTGTTTTTTAAATACTATGCCACACATTTGTGTAATTGATGAACATATAAATAAAAAATAGTAATTTGAAAATACATATCATTTCAGTTTTTAGTGATCTTTGAACAGTTATATTTATTTATTTTTTTAAATATGGCCTTGATTTACTATTTTTTCAAATGATTTAGTATTTTTGGATATCCTTTTAAAAATATTTTAAAAATATTTCGATATATTGATATATATTTTTATATATACAATATATTTTTTTGATATTTTAATGATTAGAAAAAATAAAACATTTTCAAAGTTTATCCAAAAATGTTAAATCATTTCTTAAACTTATCCAGTACTTAAATATGTCTTTCAGAGAATTCTTAGAGAATTTTTACACATTCGTTTATCTTCCCCATTTATCAATGCTGCAAAATGTGACCAAAGTGTTTCTCACCTTCCGTAAATAGTCATACAGTTCATCAGCATCAGATATCTGGTCAGTCTCCGGACATCCCATGCGATGTAGGACTGTATACAGTGCTTCTCCATACAGTAGGTTATGCTGAGTAGATAAGGCAAGCCAGTGAACAACAAAAGCCACTCTTACAGATTTATTCAGTAAAATTAATATTGTCTGTAATTACAAGTAAATTTCAAATTTAGGGCCAAACTGGAAGCATAACTTGGAGATTTTTCCAGTTTAGCCATTTTGACCACAAATTTGAAATTTACTTTGAATTCACTTTTACTTATCTGGAAATTCTAAATTTAGTGAATAACCCTGTATTAATACATGAATAAATATCCAAAAAATGGTGCCAAGTGGAAATAATCATGTTTGGAATAGTGTTCATTTTGTCGGCTAATAATTTTAGTTGACTAAAACTTTGAGATTTAGTCGACTAAAACTAGACCAAAACTAAAACAATTCAAATGACTAAAATACGACTAAAACTAAAATGGCATTTTAGTCATAAGACTATGACTAAAACTAAATTGGAATTTGCCGCCAAAATTAACACTGGTATGGAAGAGATTACTGATAACAATATGGAAAACAGAAGATGGAATAGGACATAAAACTCATTTCATAATAATGTACTATGGCACTCACAATTTTGTAAAGTGGCATTTGTTAATTTATACGATAACATATATTTTAAAGTTATTTTTTTTTTCATTGTAGTTCCCAAGAAAAATGTAGAAACATTTTAAGAAGTTAGGTGAAATGCGGCAACATTGTTTTTATCCAGTTGCATTTCCACTTATTTACCTACTCTGTATGTGTATCACTTATATTTAACTCACCTGTACGGAAGGAGAGACTGGCTTGGGTTCAGAATTAGTCTCTGTAACAGGCTGGGGCTGTGAGGGTCGCACAGATCCTTTTTTCCTGTACTGGGCCTGAATGATGGAGCAGACACAGGTTAGTACCAGCTGGTAAATATTATGAAAGGATGCAAATTATAAAACAATAGAAAGAAAGAAACCAGTGGGGTTTGCTCCAGGTGACTCTAGGTACAGAATTCTCAAGTGCCTCCTATACCCCCCTTACGGAAAAACTTGACTGATTAAATAGTTAAAATTCATGTTTATACATACACAAATAGTGTGTCACCCTCCTGTTTCCTACCTTTTAGGTGCGGGAGGGTGACGTTCCTTGGGGTCCAGTGGCAAAGGCTGATGGGAGTCAGAGTTCCCTCTCCTTTCTCCTCCCATGCGGCACGGTGATTGCTGAGAGGAAGTGACTCGGGCTGTCACTTCCTCCCAGTTCTGACATCAACAAAGGGGGCCCGGTCTCGCTGTTGAAGCACCGCAGTGTTGACCGGGCCCCCTGGAAATTCATTGCTATCAGGTGGCCCTAACAGCATGGGCCACCCAATTATACTGCGCGGGCCAGAGCCGTGTTAAATGGTCTGCGGGCTCCCCCTGGAGTGACAGGCCGGTCACAGCTGCGACCCCTGCGACCGCGGTAGTGCCGCCACGGGGTGTGTGCATATATGTGTGTAGTGTGTGCATGTGTAACAGTGTGTGTAAATGTCTAAGTGAATGTCTATGCATCATATCTCTAGAATATACAATATACACAATAACATAGTTTCATAGCTGAAAAGAGGCATGCATCCATCAAGGTCAGCCTTTCTCACATTTGTTTTTGCTATTGTTCCAAAAAAAAAAACTAATGTATTGTAAAATTTTAAAAAATAAATAAAACAACAATCACATCAAATAGTGATTCAGAGTATCTCCTGGTCAGGCACGCAACGTGTAGGACAAGTCCAAACAATCCCCAGAGATCTCCTATTCTAGCTGGGAAACAGAATCAGCATCCAGGTCCCCATACCCTTCCCTATAGTGACATCAGGCCTTTTCAGGGGCTCTTGGGACCGAGCCCATAGTCTATCGGCAGGAGGCTGACATCCAAGCCTCTCCAAGACCCAGTGGCACAGGTGCTTCCGTCACAATAACATTACTGGAAAACAATGTTAATGTTTTTTTTTTTTAATGTTAACAGAGAGAATTCTTCACGGGGAGTGTACGTTTTCCTACTTATAGAGTAGGGAAAGGAAATTTCACATAAATACCCAGAAAGGGTTCTTTACCGTAAGAAAAATAAATGTATAATTCACAGGGTCGGCCTTAGGGGTGTGTGCTGTGCGGTCGCACAGGGTGCCATGGCAGCAGGCCAATGCACAGAGCACTCCTATAAAGGTCTCGCTACGTGTAGTGTGGCCGCTCGGCACCCGGGTGGAAGATTTTATAATTCTTCAAACGGCCTATCAAAAAACATGATTGGAACTCAAGGGGGTGGAGCTAAATGGGCAGCGAAGTTAAATGCAGCCTGAACTTGCTGCCCAATTGCTGCTGGAGTCCCTGCTTCCTCAACTACTAAACACGGGAAATTATATATTGTATAGTTTTAAAAGGTAGATGTCTTAAGGATAGCTTTATATTACAATGCATTAAACATTTATGTGATATATAGTATAAATATTTCCAAATGTGAATCTTGGCAACATCAAAGTTACACTATCAACAGAGCTGCATTTAAAAGGTACTGCTTAACCTGTCTATGGGTTTAAAGCCAAAGTGTGAAATGTTGGGGGCTTATTTTCTCTAATAGGTGTTATGGTGACTGCAGTGCCCCACTCCATCTCCCAGCTGGTACCTATCATTGAAATAGGCAACTGTCTGTAACTGTGTGTAACTGTGTGTTTGCCTGTCTGCCTATAACTGTGTGTGTGACTGTCTGCCTGTAACTGTGTGTGTGTGTGTGTGTGTGTTGTGTGTGTGACTGTCTGCCTATAACTGTGTGGCTGACTGCCTGTAACTGTATGTGTGTGTGGCTCTCTGTAACTGTGTGTTTGACTATGTGCCTTGGATTGTGTGATTTTCACTGTATTTGACAGTGTATGTGTATATTGTGTGCATCTTACTGTGGGACTGTGTGCATCCAGGGTTGGTGAAGATGATTTTGGTGCCCTTTCCCCCTCCCCCTTAACGAGCCAAAAAAAAGCATCTTCACCTGTGTGCCTCTTAATTCCTCTTTTTAATGCCTTACACCCTCTTTTTCCCCATTGTGTGTCTTACACCTTCCTTGTGTAGCTCTTAAAAAAACCTTTGTGTGTCTTACTCCCCCTAGCCCCTTTGTGTGTTTTACTCTTCCCAGCTCCCTTGTGTGTTTCTCTTTCACCCCAGCCCGTCTGTCTCCCTTCAGCTCCCCTGTGTCTCTTTTTCCTCTTTTCCAGCCCCTCTGTGTCTCATTCACCCCCAGCCCCTCTGTTCCCCCTCCCCCACCAGGCCCTTCTGTGTTTCTCTTTCATCCCCAGCCCTTCTGTGTGGCTTTCTCACCCCCAGGCAGTGTGTGATATTTGTAATTGGTGTATTGACTGTGTGTGCGATATATATGCATATTGGCCGGACCTCTAAGGGACATGGAGGGGAGAGTGACACACAGAGGGACATGAGGGGGGAGAAAGACACACAGATGGGCCTGCCACTCACACACTGCGCATTACTGTAAGTTTTTTTGTTGTGGAGTTCTGTGATAAACTGGTACACACCACATCGTACTGTGAGGGTATTTTTTTTGCTGTGGAGCTCAGTGATAAATGGATAAACAATGCATTACTGTTTCTATTCTACGGAGTTCAAGGTAAATAAGGAAAACCCAGAGCTCCAGAGCAAAACAACTTACAGTATTACGTGACAGCAGAACATAATACTTAGTCTGCCCTCTGCAATGTCAGGGAGGCAGTCTGGCACTTGTTGGCTGCAGACCATAACTAGCTCACTTTCGAGCACTGGCGTACACACCGCGGTCGCAGCTGCGACCGGGCCTGGCCCATCAGGGGGCCTGGCCGCCCTGCAACCAGGTATGTACGCCAGTTTGCCAGCCTCTTCTCCTGGGGGGCCCAAGAGCTGGCCATCTCAGGGCCCCCTGAGGCTGGCAGTGGCATTAAATGGCGGGCACGCGAGGGAGCATTCTCCCCTGAGCACTCTCTGCCCAGCTCCCTCGTGCGCACCGCACTGATGCATCAGTAAGCAGCGCGCGAGGGAGCTGAACAGGAGGATCAGTGCTCCCTCTCCGCCTGCAGGACCGGCCGCCCAGCAGCACCACTGGACCCCAGGGAATCCCTTCAGCACTCCCAAAGGTAGGGAGGCTGGGGATTAAATTAAAAAATAAAAATATGAGTGTGTGTTCATATGTGTGTTAGTGTGTGTGTGTTCATTTTTTTGTGTCAGTGTCTGTTACTGTGTGTGTGTCTGTTACTGAGTGTGTTAGTTGTGTGTTTGTTATTGAGTGTGTGTCTGCTAGTGTGTCAGTGAGTATGTTAGTTTTTGTGTGTGTGTTATTGTCTGAGTTAGTTGTGTGTTAGTTTGTGTGTGTCTGTTATTGAGTGTGTGTCTGCTACTGAGGGTCAGTGTGTGTGTGTCAGTGAGTGTGTTACTGTGTGTGTCTGTTACTGAGCGTGTTAGTTTGTGTGCCTGTTAGTGTGTGTCTGTTAGTGAGTCTGTTTGGTGTCTGTTAGTGAGTGTGTGTTTGTCAGTGAGAGTGTATGTTTTGTAAGTGAGTGTGTATGTCTGTCTGTCAGTGAGTGTGTATGTATGTCTGTCACTGAGTGTGTGTCTGTCTGTCAGTAAATGTGTGTGTCTGTTAACTAGTGTGTATGCGTCTGTTCGTGAGAGTGTGTGTGTGTGGTTAAAAACCCATCTGTATGGACTCTGATAAAACCACTTCTTCAGGCAGAGAATTACACATCCTTATTGTTCTTACAGTAAAAAAACCTTTCCTTTGCCTTAGACGAAATCTTCTTTCTTCCAGTCTAGTGTGAAGTGAAGATTTTTTGCACAGGGCACCTAAAGGCCTAAGGCTGGCCCTGATAATTCCCTGCCTAAAGCAGTTGGGCTGTCATATATTTTAATAACAGTGATCATCAGAAGAAAGAAATTTACTTCAGGGGTATTTCTTTTTAGATCAAATACAACACACGGGGTGCAGGCATTAAACAATGAAAACTACCTATAACTTGAATTAAAGTTTTGGATCTGTTATTTTTTACACTTAAGTAAATTGCAAATTACATTCACAACCCACTTTAGTTCAGGCACAACTAGGGCTTATACTACAAATGACAAAAAATAATAGAAAAAGTGGGGACGATTTACCAGTGTTGTGTTATGAAAAGTTGTGCGAAAATGTACTGTAAAGGGGGAGGAGTCACTATTGGCTGCTGGTTCTAGTGATTTCCATGGTGATGACCCTACTTTAAGTACATTGTACTGACCATAGACATAGAATACCTAGACTCTGCATTATGTGCTGAGCGGCAAGGAATGTGGGCGCCATCTTGGACCGGTCGCCGCTCTACTGAAGCTATTGAAGAACCCTTGGAAGGTCCATCTCACAAAAGGTAAGTGAATGACTTGGGGCACTTATTTGCCGGTATCCTGGTAGGCCAGTCCAGCCTTGTCATCAAGAATAGGAAAAACTGTACTTTTTCTAATATTTTTAAAGAGAAATTGATCAGAAAGCAAGTAAAAAAGAACAGATTCCAAAAGAGGAAGAGATAAGGAAACAATATTTTTGGGTGATAGAGCAACTTTAAATTTAATGGATTAATAAACATAACAGTAAAAATCCTGCGCAGTGACATAGCCTCCTTAATTAACTCTGTAGTGGTCCATCATTTGCACAGCAATTCTATAAATTGTATTTTCAGAGTGAAATTCAGCATAAAGGTTGAGACTAGTCTGCAATAATTCCTTACCTCTCGACGGGTAATACGATGAGGCCCCAATGAGTCCATCTGTAGAAGATAGAAAGGACATGTGAATATGACATGGAGATAAGATAACAAGCAACCAGTATAAAAAAAATGCAAACCATAGGAGGGATATGCCAGCGAGACATGACACAAGTTAAATGATTAGATCTGTAGATGGAGAAAGAGGAAAAAGCAAAAATACTGAGATATCAAACTGCAGAAAAGAGGCACAAGAGAGAAACAAAACTGTGAGAAGAGAGAGGTGGAGAGGAAAGAATTAGCGAATTTGCTGTTATCTTAAAAAACCAACCCGAGACCTAGTACTATTGTTTACTAGATAAACTAATAAATAATATAATTACTACTCCAAGACAGATAATGTATTCCCTCCTTCCTATCTCTTGAGTAATTAATTTAGCTCCTAGGATATAACTGTCTGACTACTACATACTAAAAACACTATAAAAAACATTTTACAAACAATATTTTGCTTTAGAATCAAAACTTACAGGTTGAGGTATGATCAGTAAAACACATGTAACAGAAGAATGACGGTGAACAAAATGAGAGTGGGATGATTATTTGGTGCAATAGAGGAACCAGGCTGGATGTGGCAACATCAAATGTGAAAGAATAAATTAAACAGAGGAAGAGATGTGGGACAGGAGTGAAGTAAGAGAGTGGGAGAGAAAGAGGAAGATTGAATAGGAAGGGACGGCAAATGTATTTTTTCAAACTAAAATTACTTAAGTCAAATTATTGTAGTTTCTGAAGCATATAGGGAAATTTAAAGAGACACTCCATTGCCCAGATACAAATAAAATGAAAAAAAATCACTATAATAGACATACCCTCAAACTTGCCTATATATATTTCTTTTGTATTTTTGTCATTGTGGTTATATCTAAAAACAGCTTGCAAAAGCTGCAAATATCTTGTCTGCAGTCTTTGCAAACCCTCCCCTTCTCACCGCCCAGACTTTCTGTGGCTGTCCAATCACAGACTTCCCAATGCAGCTCAATGAGAAGTCTTTGAAAGGCGCTCTGTACAATTGCTTGTCTTTTAAGTTTAGCTTCACTGAGCTAACCAGACCAGGAAGTAGCAGGACTGACCGTCTGATTGGCAGCCAGTTTGTGTAAGAAGGTTCCTTTTTAATGTGCCAAATTTTATTGAAATTTGCCCTTTTTGTATAAAAAAAAAAAAAAAAGAGGACACTCTCTCCACACATAAAGGATTTCAGCAAGCTAGACTGTCCCTTTAATATAAATATATTAGCCTGTTTTACGGAAAGTGGCAGATTCATCCAATGCTTAAACAATAGGAGTAACTATTTACTGTCACTGTCACTGTGGTAGATAAAATTTTAGTATTCTCTACTGCCATCTGCAGGAGGATGTAGAAAAGTACACATAACTCTTGTTCTGCTGATTGATACAAAATGTAAATTTAAAAGGCCTGCAACATTAGGAAACAATCACAAATAAAACTAAATAAAAACAGGGGATAATTATATATAAATCATCATGGTCAAATAAAATAATATCAAAAACAGTAATACAATCCCCACATCTCATTCATCCCTAATGTCTCACCCATCATTTTCTATATCACTTTATTGCCCAGGATTTGTTCTCCAGAATTATTTATTGAAACATTTTTATTTTTATTTAGAATAACGATTTAAAGTAAGAAATATGTCAAAAACATACTGTACCTCTTGTTCCGTATCCTCTGGTGAATGATTGCTATTTTCATGATTATCAGAGTCCATCATTAATCTTCAGGTGGCCTCCGTTTTAACACAGCCTTCTATAGTACACTCACTTTCTGAGCTTCCCTAACAGCACATATTCATCCAAGTGACCATCAACATGCGGGCCTCCGCTGAAATCATAAATACATTGGTTCATGTCACAGTATAGAAGTGAATCTATCTAAAAGCTCAACAATTCAACCACTATTACTCAATACTCAGTTACATCACGGATTTTCTGATGAAAAACCATGGTTTGTAATTCTGCGAGTGTCCTCAAAACATTTCAAGGTGTCTCTCAAAATGAATCAGAGAGACGGTGACAGTGGGTGTTGGTGTTACAATAAAAGTGGAGCATGGAACCTTTGCTAATACTTTAAACTTGGTGTAACGGTTACAGCGTAAGAACATCAGCTTATTTTGATAAATGCAGGTAGCATAAGATAGAAGTTTTGTTTGGAATAGAAAAAAACTAAACTTTAGCGACCACTACCATTCAACACTGAGTGGCCATTGACATTTTTACATCATTAGCTACTCAATGAGTGTCCCTCAATAACCGACCAACTCTCACTGACTCTTTGTAATTATTGGTTTCCCCTTCAAAAGCCTAAGCCTTCATTGCCTCTCAAGATCTGCGATAATGTAACGCATTATCAGCTATTCACAGGTCTTCGCTCAGTGTCCCCTGTGCACACCTCGCAACAAAAGGTTCTCATTGTCTGTCACAACACAGAACACAAAATTCATTGCTCTCTATCCAGAGTACCAGCACAAACTGCAACGCACAACCAAAACCATTTGCAATACGGACTTTCCACTGTGCCACCTAAAACTGTTTGCAGAAGCGACTGCTCACCAACTCTCAGAACCCAAGACATTTGCTGATCTTCAGTCATTGCCGTAATCTGTATAACTCAACACTATTTAGTGTCTTTGGTCCTTTTACAGTTAGTTTCACAGAGGAAACCACAACTTTATCACTTGAAGGAAGTGAAGCAGCATGTGTGACAGTATATGGTCCCCTAGGGGAGGGAGGATATACGTGATGTGATCCAAATTAACCCTTTAACACAGGAATTTATCTTCAGGTCAGGTGGTTTCCAAACCAACTTTTCTCAGGCTGTAGAGATTTTTAAAGCTGCCTATTGAATATGCTTTTGCTCAAATACATTTAGATTAGGGAAATGCCTTTACTGAAAATGAGATCATAAACAAGAAAACTCAGAAGTGTGACAATGAAACCCAATCTTCAATTGTACCGGATAAATTTGATGTGGTATTTTGTCACAGGATCAAGTAACTGCATCTTTGTACTATCGTTTTGCCTCATGCAGAGAGACCTTGAACAACCCCACCTTCTACACAATACTAGAGTCAGCGAGGCTCAGTAAGACAAGAGCTGCAGACTTGGAGATGACAGGGATGGGTGGAGGAATGAGAGTATACAGATTGCCATAGAAGCCTACAATTCTTCATAAAATGCAGATGCCTGGTTTCATCCTGGTACATACTGTATTTGCAAACATTATGTACACGTACAAAAACATTTCTTTACTTTCTGTTATTCATAAAATTATATTCGTATTCATCATGGTACTGCCAAATCCACCTAGTTGGTACAGAGCACCAGCAGCAGGACAGGAGGGCACACGAGACATTGAACAAGTTACATAGTGTGCTTTTATATGAGAGTGGGAATACGTAAAAAAGAGATTTAAAGTTACAGCACACCTTCATTTTTGTTTTATGTTATTGTAGTGTATTCATGAGCTATTGCACTTTGACAGGTGCTGCTATATTACTGAAATAAAAAAAAAATTAAAGAAATCAGCACAGATTTTAACAATTAATATTGCTAATGTTTTCTGACTTCCACAGCTTTGCCTGGGTGAAATAGTATAAGAGATTTGGATTGTGATTAATTTTAAAACTGCGATACCAGCCAAGAGTTATTGATTAATTACCAATGCTGGATCACAATGTTTCCAATAGTCAATACAATGCATCCAGTAATTAAAACCATTTGGAACTTGTGAAGAATATAATATTGCGTAATAAAAAAATAGAATGATCTCAGACAATAAAAAGAGCAGGATGGCAATAATCTGACTCACTGTTTATTTTCACTGTTTCTGAACGTTATCGCAGTAAAAGTTTTAAGCAGCTATTATCTTTGATGTGAAGGACAGGGAGTAGATAATAGTATCTATTCATATGATGTCTTTAGTTCATCGTTTATCTTTAATGTCTCACATCTCACATTCTAGATTCCATAACTGTATCCCAGCACATGCAGCTTTGCATTTGCACCTCAAAATTATTAAACTAATCGTTGTTCCTGATATAAACTGGTTTACAGCCACGTTGTAAAATAAAGATATTCCTATCTAGAGCTGCCATATTAAAGGGACATGCCTCACTTTGAGACAACTGTCATACAGTTGTCCTACTCTGCAGGCTTAAAAAAGCATGTAAAAAAATATTTATTTTTCTTCATATGTACCTGCTTGGTTATGCTTTCCACACCCACTCCATGGGGACACTGATCTAACCAATTAACGTCCTATCCCTAGGAATGCTGGAAAGTGTATTGGGCATGCATGACAGATTTACACATTTGCAGTTCGAAGATTTCTACACCTTGCAACATTCTGACAGGGGGAGAAGAGAAAGTCTGATCAATGTGATCATGCAGAGCAGGCTCCGGTGTTGGGTTTATCTCTCCTGCTGCTGCACAACAATGGCCTGTTTTAGTCATTAGTGGACTGGTCTGAAACCGAAATGGGTGAGTAAGAGGGAGGGCGTAGGTGAGGCGAAAGAAACTCCCCTAGCAGAGAGGTGTGCTGAACAATGCAATCAGACCAAATTTATTGTAAGTTTATAAACTTGTCAATGTTTTTCTTGCTTTATTTAGGTTTGTATATTTGTTTTAAAGTGTTTGCTTGCTGGTTTAAAAAAACAAATTGTCAAGTGATGCATGTTGCTTTTAGGTGAAGAATATAGATTCTTTCATCTCCAGTATAAAATAAGCATGCTCACAAAAAGATTAAATGAATAGCTGTCAGGATTACAGAATGATCAAGCACGTAGAATTGTGTAACACAGAGGACTGATGGGTAACGTATACCGGACCTTAGAATGGCCGGACTAACATACCAAAGAATAGTTAGGAATAGCTTAGGTCAAGGGATACAGAAAGAGACAAAATGATAAGGAAAAGCCAGGAGTCAGGGATGCCAGAAAACAGGGAAGTCAAAAACAATGCCAAAGTCAAAAACCAGAATCAATAACGCGCTCTCGGACAACCACAAGGGAAACCACGACAGGGCCCTGAGCAGGGTGAGAACTGGGCCTAAATACCCCTCCTCTAGATCTGATAGGCTGTAACCAGCCTTTGACCCCAAAGGCAGTTATCAGGTTCCCATTTGCATAATTGCTGCTCAACATTAACCCTTCTGTGGATTTGGTTGCTGCTCAGCACAACTTTTCCTGTGTGGACAGTAAATGCCATTAACCACATTTTTATAAGCGGATGAATACGTGACAATAGCACGCAAAATGCATATAATGAACTGTAGTGGTTATGATGTTTAGATAGTCTATTAAAGTAACACTCTCTTATCTCTTGAAGTGGTTATAGTGCCTGGAGTATCTCCATTCATTGTTAAACTATTTTTGAATGGTTTGACACTGAATGAGAGTTCCTGGGTAGCCCCGAACCATGCATCTATGTGAAGCTTAAGTTAATGATTCCGCATTATCCTGAGTGGCGATGGGCATAAGTGATCGGCTGGGAATGTCAGCTGAGCATTCTCAGCCCATTACAGCCACAGGAGTGTAATCTCTGTCTTAGCAATACAGCGATTGAGGTCGAGCTTGTGGGTGGCTGGGGACCTTCTGTTGCTATTTTATTTAATATTTTAAATTGTTTAAAAACAGTTTAATACTAAACAGAGATTAAGTGGTTATAGGGCCTAGAGTGTCCCTTTACATCTGATGACTTACATAATGATACTGATTAGACATGTGCAATTCGTTTCGGTCCGAATATGAATTCAGATGAATTTTGGGTACTTCCGAATGTCCGAAGAGCTGAATTGGCAAATTGCCAAAGCGCCAAATTGTCGAAGTCGCGAAGTTCCGAAATTACCGAAATTGTCTAAGTACTAATATACTTACCCAGTGGAAGAAGAAGAATGTTACACTGTATACAATTTTAAATAAAAAGTATACAAACATAGCCAGGATTCAGCTGTAAGCATTTGCAACACTTACAACTATCAAGTAACACATTCATATAAAATGTAAGTTACTTAGCCAGTCAGTGGAATGACAGGAATGAATAAGTAGATAACTCCCTAATTCCCACGGTATTAGGGAGCTATCTACTAAAAGGCTGAAAGACCTAAATTGGTCTTTCAGCCAAATTTACTAAGTAAAGATTACTTAGTATCAGTAAATTATGCCCCTACTCGCTATACCGCCAGTAGGGTCATGTCTGGTAAACAATGAGCAGCCTGTGGCTGCTCACTGTAAAAAAATAAAATAAAAATAACACCTCCCCCCTCCCTAGTCCCCACCCGTGCCGCGCGAGTGGGGGCTTCTAACCTGAAGGGGGGACCTATTCCCCCCCCCCGGCCCCCACCCCCGAGCGACAGGTGGGGGCTCTAAAGTAAAATAATGGGGGGGACCTATTGTCCTCCCCCCCCGGCCCCCACCCCTGAGCGGCGGGTGGGGGCTCTAAATCAGAATAAGGGGGGGACCTAATATCCTCCCCCTGGCCCCCACCCCTGAGCGGTGGGTGGGGGCCCTAAATACCAATAAGGGGGGTACCTATTGTCGCGGGTGGGGGCTCGGGAGGGGGGACCCTTGGGAGGGGGGACACTGATCGGTGGGTGGGGGCCCTAAATTAAAATGAGGGGGGACCTAATGTCCTCCCCCCTGGCCCCCAACCCTGAGCGGCGGGTGGGTTCCCTAAATCAGAATAAGGGGGACCTAATGTCCTCCCCCCTGGCCCCCACCCCTGAGCGGTGGGTGGGGGCCCTAAATACCAATAAGGGGGGTACCTATTGTCGCGGGTGGGGGCTCGGGAGGGGGGACCCTTTTTTCTTTTTCTTTTTAATAGTGAGCAGCCACCGGCTGCTCACTGCTTAAAAGACATGTCCCTACTCGCGGTATAGCGAGTCGGGGCAAAATTTACCAATACTAATAAATTTTTACTTAGTATTAGTAAATTTGGCTGAAAGACCAATTTAGGTCTTTCAGCCTTTTGGTAGATAACTCCCTAAACCGTGGGAATTAGGGAGTTACCTACTAAGTGGCTGCAAAAGAAGTCCCGAAGTGCTGAAGTCCCAAAATTTCAAAATGCAGGAGTTCCAAAATCCCGAAGTTCCAAAGTGTCGAAGTGCCGAAGTTGCCGAAGTTCTGAAGTGTCGAAGTGCCGACGTGTCGAAGTGTTGAAGAGCCGAAGTGCCGAACCGAATTGCCAAAGTCCCAAATTTCTGAATGCCGAATCGAACAGAAAATGTTCCCCATGCACATGCCTAATACTGATAGTGAATAAACTACACTGTCTGATGGTAGTATGTATATGATGATGGTAAGGACATTATTCTTTTTTTATATTACCAATATGGTAAAGGTAATATTTTTTTATTTTTTTTTGTGCAAGTACATATGATAGAACCAGAAGCGTGAACATTTCATGGAGGGAAATAGGAGGGCCAGTACCAAAAAAAATAAAAATATACATAACATACTTAGTATGTGGCATGTAAGACGTATACAGAACTATTAGACAATGGGGTTTACACTATCCGTAAACTTAATGCACTAACCGTAAGATACCATAACTGCACCTTTTAGAAATATATGAGACGTATGTAATATCCTGCCCGATAAGACTTAGATTAGATGAAACTACAGACGCATAGAGAATGAAGAGTAACAAAGCAGTTATGCTAAATCGAAGAG